AAAGTGTAGGTCTATTTTTGTACTGGAAATATTTCAGAAGCAATGATCCTGCTTTTTAATATTGACACTATGAACTGAAAAGTTTTTTTAAAAAAGGTAGCATCACATATTACACTGTTAAATTTAATGGACAGCACAAATAAGTTACTATATTTGTTTTGAGATATGTTTTCCCCACCCTGCTCTAGAGCATACATCAGGAAGCAGTCCAAGATGCATGGAGGCCGAGGTCTTCCTACTCCTCTAAGTCATCCTCCATTAGCGATAGCTTACTAGAACAGCCATCTAGAGCCACTGTGATGTTCAGTTGGTCCAGATGCACACATGACTTATAACCTGAAACATGGGCCCCACTTTCAGTTTTTCACTCTTGATTAAAAATTAATAGTGTGAATAATGCACATTTTCTAATCCTAAAATTACTAATTCTAAGATGGCAGTTCAGAGGAATATACATAGTGTTACCTGGACATTGCTGCTATATCAAAAGCAGTGATTTTTTGAAACAGTATTGTAATTAAAAACAGATTTAAGTCAAGAAAGTGTCTGTGCAAACAGGTGAGTCTTCAAAAACCAGTAGAATGTCAATACTGATAGAGCCTCTCATAATTCAGCAGCAAGTGTATTCCATATATACAGCTTGAATATTGGGGGGGGGGGGGAAGCAACATGCAGTGCCCATCACTGGGGAAGAGAAATGCCAATATAGAAATCACATAATTTACTTGAAAATTATAGCAGTGCTTCTCCAACAAATGGAAGAGGAAACAAAACCGAGAACTAGACAAATGGGTTTCTTCTGCTGAGGAGGAAGAAGTCCCCTGCCGCTATTCCTCATCCTTAAGGTGATCTGAACTGCCCTAAGAACACTTCATCAGGAGCAAACCCTTTGAACCTCTGTAGGTTTTGTAACTTGATTCTAATACATGCTTGCAGAGAACCAAAGCAATTACATGCATGTCTACTCAGAGGCATGTCCTGTTGAGTTCAATGGGACTTACTCCTAACTGTGTATAGGATTACAGCTTAAATCTACAGATCTCAGGTGGTGTCCAGAGAATTATCTAGTCCTGAGAACGGGGCCTTTTCTGCAGTGGCTCACTGTTTGTGGAATGGTCTCACCGGGAACACTCGCCTGGCACCTTCATATACATACCTTAGGTGCTAGGTGAAAACATTCCTCTGCTCCTAGGCCTTTGGCTGATGAAACAAACTATGACCTTTTAAACTGTGTGTGGGGTTATTGTTTTCTTTGTTATTATAGTATGTATGTTTGTGTTTTTATACTGTAAAGTGCCCTGTGATCCTTTGATGAAGGGTGGTATATAAATTTAATATTTAAAAAGCAGCAATTCTCAACACGTGTGTGACTAGGGGTGGGAAACAGTGTATATGGTGGCATGAACCAGGCTGCTTTTCCACTTACAACCTGCTTGCCTTCTCAGCTGGGTGTCGGTGGTAAAAATATTCAAAATACTTTTGGTTACATGTGTGTGTCACTCCCCACTGCGCCCCACACCCCTGCTTGTTCCATGAGTGTGAAGAATTGCAGCCTAAACCTTTCTTTCTTAAAAACATTTGCAAGACACCCTTTGAGGCAGCTAACGATTTTTAAGGAGAAAAAATAGTCAATTTTGAAGTAAGTCAGATTATATAACTGCAGCTTAGATCCCAAATGTTTGCTTAAATACGCGAGCCCTATATTTTTCCTGAAGGTTAATAAAGGGGTGAATTGCTACAGCTCTGCTGGGAACTGATTCAAAAGCCTGGGGCCACTGTCGAAAGGAGAGGGTGCAGGGAATAAATAAAGTTCAGTACTGCACTTTGAATTCTTTTTTCCTCCTGCCTTATTGGGTAGTGTGTTGATTATTTATTTGCAGTTCTGCAGGTTTTAAGATTTCAGTTATGTTGGCCTTCCACTGGGATCAGAAATAATTGCTGCTTCCTACTCACATCTGCCAGGCTCATGGGAAGAGCTTTCTTCAGCTGCATGTCTTGGCTTCTAGAATTTCTGTGAGATCCTTCCTTGACCGCTGCCAAGAAAAGCTATTTCCTCTGTCTAGCGGTAGCTACTGCTACAAAGACTTGGGCCTTCTGCTGTAATTGATCAGTAACAGCTGAGATGGTAGCTGCCTTTACATTTACACTTTGATTACTACAGAATCAAGACTCTCCATCTCATCCTATCTAAAACAGGCATTTCTAGGTTGAAAAGCTTTGCCAAAAGCCAATACGATTTACAACTTGTATCCAAATACTTACTGGTATTTGGTTTTGTTGTCTGCCACTGCTGAATCAGACAAAGGCCTCTGTAATCTAGTTCCCTATGTCTGTACCAATACTGTACTGTACCAATAACAAAATTAGTTGGTCTCTAAGGTGCTACTGGAAGGAATTCCCCCCCCCTCCACCAGACTACGGCAGACCAACACGGCTACCTACCTGTTACAGTGGTACCTCGGATTACATACGCTTCAGGTTACAGTCTCTGCTAACCCAGAAATATTACGTCGGGTTAAGAACTTTGCTTCAGGATGAGAACAGAAATCGTGTAGTGGCAGCACAGCGGCAGCAGGAGGCCCCAGTAGCTAAAGTGGTGCTTCAGATTAAGAACAGTTTCAGGTTAAGAACGGACCTCTGGAACGAATTAAGTACTTAACCCAAGGTACCACTGTACTAGCCTCCTGTTCTTCTTACTCACTAGCTACTCATTTGATCATGAAAGTAGCATACAGGCATAATGTCTAGTAGCTGGTGATGTTAGGCTTATTCTCTGTGAAGTCTGCTAATCCCATCTAAATTAGTGGTGATCTCCATATCTTATGTTAGTGAATTCCATTAAAATTTATGCAATTATTTTTAGTTTATGTATGTGACAAACAGATAGAAGCTATGTATTCGGGAGACCTAGGTGCTGGTTCTTAGTATAATACCAGTTTTATGCTGGTTTGAATGTATGCAGTATTGGTTTGCTGATGTTGTAAGTTGCTTTTGAGTTACATTTTTGGGGGAGAAATTAATAAGTTTAATAAATACTATCTCTTGGAGAGCACTTCCACCTAATATTAATTATATGAACACCTTTTTTTGGTTCTACATAGCACCTTGTATTGGTTCTTCTGTTTTATAAAGTCAGGGTTTGAAAAAATGGGTAATAACAATATTGCAATGTTCTCTATCAGACGAAAACTGCAGTAGAAGAAATGTTAATCTGAATCTCATGGCTGTTTCCATGTTGTGATTAATTTTAATACAGTGCTATGAGGAAGAGGGTGAAAGCTAGGGAGATACACTTTAAAAATTATGTGAGGCTCTTTTCTGCTTCCTAAATTCTAGAGCTTTAATGTTTTTAGTTATTACATTTGAACCCTTTCCTCCCTCTGTGGTAATGTTTCTTATAGTTGACAGGTCTTTTTCCAGAGTTAATTTTGGACACACACAGTTTCACAACCAGTAAAGAGTCTTCTTAAGAATGTGTGAGAACAAAAGCTACCCACTGGTAGAGGTGTCCCTTGTGTTTCTGCATGAGTTAATTATTCTGAATGTGCTTCCTGTTTGAAAGAAAGAAAAGCCAATAGAGTAGCTTGTTCCCATTTCCCTGAGGGCAACCAATTCTGCTGCATCTCTATCAGGAGCAATTGATCTAATTACACACAAAGCAGAGACATGTCAGAATTGTTCTCCAGTAGGCTAGAGCCATTAATCATGCAGATGTAGTGGGCAGCCTCCTCTGTGCTGAGTACTTTTGGCAAGGCTGGCGCTATGATTTTGGAAGCTCTTGGGGCAAGAAATTGTTGGAGTACCTGCTTATCAAGCCTCTTGCCCAGGAGCTTCCAAAATCATAGAGGTGAATTGATGCAAGGGGCAGCATATCAGATCAATTGCTTCTGTTACTTCCTCATCTGATGCTTCATCTTGCACCAATTCAAATTTTGCACATGAAGTGGACCTAAGATAAACTGGGGTGAGGGTGCTTTCCCCATATGCATAATGCATGCACTCAGTGATTTTTGTTTTAGGGGAAAAAAAGATGCCGGTACTCATTATGAAGCTGTTACTTTAAGTGTCACACATTTAACATTTGGGGGAAAAGGTGTTGGGACTGCATTCTTTATGAAAAGTAGATCTAAAAAGCTAAGGAAAGGGTTAATTTTACTCTTAAGAAAAAAAGCAAAGATTGAAAAATGAACTAATCTATGAAAGATTATTGGAGTGAATCCCAGTACACTTGGATGTGGGGTTGCTCAGATGGTCAGAGACTGGGACAAAGGAATAGGGGCACCATATTCCTTATTTATGGTATTGGAACTGGTAGGTGGGGATTGAGTGACAGGCTTCTCAGCACAATCAATGGATTGAGTTTCTCATATCCATATATATTTGGAGGCTGGCATAGTTTAAATTAAAAAGGAGTTTGCTTGGGCTATCCCTGGCCGTCTTGACATAATCATGGGATATCTCAGATTGTATACACAAATGTGGCAAGAGTTATAGGTCTTGGCCTCCCTGAATGAATGGAGGCTAGGAAGACTGTATTTTGCTAAGAGGTCTTAACTAGAATGCCAGACATGAGAGCTGTGAATCATATTTTGAAGTATTCCCCATCCTTATGCTTGTGTAGCATTTTGTCCTTGCAGTCCTAGTTACAGCAGTGGAATTGAGGCTTTCAACTAGTATTTTTATCTGGACTCCTGACACATATAAGGGATCTGAGAACACAAGTATTGTCTATCTGGCCTTCCTTCTTTTTTCTTAGCCTTGTTTGTTTGTATAAACAAAGTGCTCCCGTTATTGAAGGTTCTATAGATATGAGAGCACAGTAATCTATCCAACTGCTTGCATTATTATCGCGCGCCCTCCCCCCCACCAAAAAGCTTGTGAATCTGACTTATATTTGAGTAACTAGTAACTGGTCTTTCTCCTTAGCTGACACATAAATTTCCCCTTGTGAATTTCAACTAAATGAACTTTCTTTCATTTACTTTTTTGTTTTATTTCAGCAACCCTAAGGCATCTAGTCAAAGAGTAAATAAGAAAATCAACAATGATGCATCACTTCGAATTCAAAATTTATCTATTTTGGTGAAGCAAATAAAATCATACTATCAGGTAAGTGATTTTTCTTTCTTTCAAAAAGCATTTGTAAAGATGTGTTTTGTGGACAAAGCTAAGCTAATATGGACACAATTGTCTAAATTGTGAATTTGGTTTGCTGTGCTGCTGTTCTTCTCCTTTCCTCTAAGAAACCCATAACGAACCAGAATGTCTCTATTTGAAGTGGACAGTGAGCTAGTTAGCAGGTAACTTTAAAACATGATTAAAAGTAAACTGTGGTTTACCCAAAGAACTCACTGTGCTGCAGCTAATATAGTGCTTGCTTTGCTCTACCCATGCTCCTTCTGCTGCCTTGCAGCCGGCAAACAAGCCAAGAGATCCAAACCTGGCTACTATCCAAACAAACCATGAGCCCAGGTTTGAATGTCATGAGAAGCTAGAAATTGACTTGTTTTCTGATGGCGTGCCAACAGTTGGGGAGGAGCAAAGCAAGCTCTGTGCATTAGCATTCTGCTGATTCACATTTAACCAGGGATCACTAACACAGTGCCTGAGGGTGCCATGGGAGACACTGGTGGACGTGAAAGGTCCCTACAAATATCCGCTCAAAAATCCACAGTGCATGAGAGACTGCTTTTCTCCTTCCTGTTGGCGGGGATTGGATATCAACCCTCACTTTCATTCAAACAGCTGAGAGGTGCAAAGACCATCTCTTTGTGAAAGAATGGTAACTAATTTAGGTGTCTTCGCTCTCCCCATTGATGGGTGCATGTCCACATCTTTTTGTATACCTATCATAGATGGTCATTATTTCTTATTTCTGTCAAAGCCACCTAAACAACATTCTTTTGAGTTGAAAACTATCCTAAATACAATACTAAAATTTAGAGGGCAGAGCAGATTAAAATAATTGATTTCCATGACTGGAGTGTTGTGATTGGAGTGTCAGAATGTTGATTCATCCAGAAGTACACTTTACCTTTCTGGTATCTTCATGTTCTGGTATTTTCTGGTAGAACTATAAAATTTCAGTATAATGGGTTATATTTTATTATGTCATACTCAGACTAAAACAATTGAAATTAATTGGCGTGACTAATGAGTCCATTGTTGTCAAGGGTCTGCCCTTGAGTATGACTTATTGGAACCAGCTGAATGTATTTTAAATGCTGTCTGATCCTTAATTGCTTGGATGTAGCTAATACTTCCATCAGCTCATCTTTTTCTGATCAGTATTTTATACTATGGAACTTAGATTTGCCTCCCAGTAAGGACTCAGCTTTATGTGTATAGAAAATGTAAACTTAAATTCATTATATTAAATTCATTTCAGCGCCTCGGATCCTTTAGATTCAGTTCTGTTGCTACATCATTTTGTTACTACTTAAAATCCTATCTTGCTTTGAGAAGTAGATTATCAGTTTCTTCATAACTGTGTCAAAATATGTTGTACAACAGCTGAAAGAAAAGAGGACAGCCCTCTTAATCATGCAGAACATAAATTTGGACATTTTTATTGAACATATGGCAAAATCCCTGTAATATAGAAAAACAGTCTTGTGCTGCCAAATCTGTGTATGTGTTAGCAGCTGCTGTGATAGGTTTCCAGATGTTAGAGGGAATACACACCAACGTTAAAGAATTAGGTACTGTCTAGACTGAGGATTTTCGTTCATTACCACTGCTGCACACTGGTGGCTGTATAGTTAGAACAGGTCAACTTCCATGAGATTGTTCATGGAACACATAAATTATACTTGTTTTCTTTTTAAATGTTTTTTTTTCATTCCTGGACAACACTGCACTTTCCAGTTGAAGCAAATTTGCACTATATCTGTATTCCTTGTTGACCTATTGTGATACAGTTCATTCTTGTCTGTCTGTAGTCTTCATTTTTAAATTGTCCTAGACCTTGATCAATGGAGGAAATTACTTTTATTATCAATTATATCTTGAATATAATACTGTTTTTAATTTGTTAACTTCATACTTAATGAGCAATCACTGGGTTTAAATTTTTTTGTCTCAGTCTTATATGCACATTAAGGTTAACAAATGTTCATTTTTCATGTTTATTGTGAGTTTCTGGTGGACCTAATGCAGACTAGTCAGGTGGGTCTGAGGTTTTTTATTATTATAAGGTTACAAATTGTTCCTGGAGGAATGCTTAGTGCATGTATCAGACAGCCTCCCACATCAGTGATACTATTATTAATTCAATTTATTTGTTGTCTAATACAAAATGTCTCTAGGCAGCTTACATACATAATTAAAAACAACCACCAAGTATACAATAACAGTACCCTGCCCCCCCAAAAAACCCACAGAAAGCATGATGATAGTATTCTCTCAAATGCTTGGGATAAGAGGTACGTTTTAATCTGGCACCAAAAGGATGTAAGTGTTGGAGAGTGCATTTCATAGAGCAAAGGGCATCAGATGATGATAGTAGGGACTGGATACATCCATGTCTAATGACACATTCCCTTAGATAATGGGATCCTGGGCTGAATAGAGTTTTGCAGGTTGAAAGTAGCACTTTGAATTGGAATCAGAAACATATGTGCAGCCTCCTATATATGGTTTAGACCAGGTACGGACTTTGGTCTTTCAAAATTAAGTGGCGCCTTGTGCAAGGCCAAAAATGGTCCCCGCCTTCCGTTCTGCTCAGTTCACTAGATCATAGTTGTACTTCCCTGCTTTGTCACCAGGGCTCAGTACCCAGTGAGGCAGAAATGGTCACACTGCCCTAAATCCACTTCTAACAGTGCAGTCCTACGTACTAAGGTCATTGGGGCTTACTCCTAGATAAGTATAGATAAAGAACTGTAGCCTAGGTATATGTTAAATCAGAAGTGAGTTTGAATGGGTGCTTCATTATTTTAAAGATATTTGTGTTTTTAGCTAACATATGGATGGTGTGGTCATCCTTCGCATAGCTCTTGTAAATCTTTACATTCATTTCTATAGGAGACATTGCAACAATTGATTATGATGCCTTTGCCAAACATCTTGATAATTGGCAAAAATCCCTTTTCAGGTAAGTAGCATATTCAGATTAAAACAGACATTCAGTGTTAAGTTTATTATTAAATATTTAGAACTCAACATTTGCATCAAATTTTCAGGTGTTCAGAGGGCTTCCCATTCATTATCATATTTATGATAATCCTGTAAGGTAAATCAGTATTAACATAGGGGAGGACTAAGGAAGAAAGGCAGTAGCTTGCCTAAGACTGTCTCGTGAGCTCATAACAGACAAGTTTAGAACTGAGAATTTCCTGATTCTTGACTTTGCTTACAAGGGATTGCATTACCATCCCATGCCCTAAGGGTCTTCATCAAACTCATAGTGGCAGTGGTAGCACACTTCTGCATGGAAGAGATCCATCCACATGTATCTTTACCTGGATGACCTGTAGAAAGAGCCCTTCAAGACATAAAAATCAAACTATCCACCCTAAGTGATCATGGGTTCCTAGTGAAAAGGTTACTTATTCTTTTCAGGAAGTGTATAGCACCTAGGAGTGCTAGTCCTAGCCAAAAAGTAAAGAATGGTGTCGGTAGTGTACAAATAATGATTATCTAAAGATGTACACAGTGTGCTGTTTTTCTAATATTTTCAGAGCAAGGCACTGAAGAAGTAAAAAAGCTGCTCCTACTCCTCCTTGGATGTGCAGTTCAGGTGAGCTCTCAGTTATACAACTGCTCGTGGTATTCACTTAAAGGTAGCAAGCTGCTTTATACTGAGTCAGAGTACTGGTTCAACCAAACTGGCAGAGGTTCTCTATTCCTACTGGATATATGACAGCAATTGAAACTGGGACCTTCTGCATGCAGAGAGAGGGGGAAATGCTATTGTGCCCAGGTCCTGTAGTTTAACCAAGAATGGAAGCAAAAGCTTTTGAATTCCTCAGACCACAGGGAGGAAGGAAAAGAGGGAAGTGTGTGAATCTAGGAGGAGGCTAGACTTGTTCACATAGTTTAGTATGATGTCTGAATGTAACTGTTGTGTCTAGTTACTCAGTTTATTGCTATGAGATTTTAGATATTTCAGTATGCCTAACAGATAACATTTTAGGTTTTCTTGAGCTATTATGTTTAACCAATGTAGTGTTAATTTTGGTTAATATGTGTGTTTTAGTGTCAGAAGAAAGAAGAATTCATTGAAAGAATCCAAAGTTTAGACTTTGATATAAGAGCTGCTGTTGCTGCCCATATACAAGAGGTATTATCTGGTTTTCTACTATTAAAATCTTCTCTATATATGGATTTTGGAGGCAGCCTTCCATCTTGATTATTTTTGATTCAGAAGAATATAAATTATAGTTACTACAGATTATGAAGCCAATATGCTACACAGAACACACTGTAAATCTCTGTAAAATTAGAAAAAATACATTTAAAATGTTTCTGAAACAAGTCTTTCTCATCTTTTAATACTAAGTACCTACCCAGGTAACAACTTTAATCACAATGAATGAATGCAAGACATGACATTTCAGTAATTTTAGGGAAGGGAGATTCAAACCAACTGATGAATTTGAGAGTTTATCTGTATTGTGATTAAAAAAAAGAGTGTGAACAAGGGTGTGCACAAGATAAGAGCAAAAAAGTCTTGGGAGAAGAAGTTCATGAGTCAATTTTAGTTTCAACTTTAAAAAGCCATAAAGGTGGTATGCTAGAAAGGTACATGACTGCTAAGAGTATTCAGATATGGTTTAAAGAGATGTTATTGTTGTTGGTACCTGTATTTGTGTTAATTACCACTAGTCCTTAATAGCAGTTGAGGAATTTTTCATTTTAAAAATAAAATGGAGTAGATTTTTTTCATTTGATTTATAGACAGCTGGAGAAGAGTGACTAGTGGGGTGCCACAGGGTTCTGTCTTGGGCCCGGTCTTATTCAACATCTTTATCAACGACTTGGATGATGGACTCAAGGGCATCCTGATCAAATTTGCAGATGACACCAAACTGGGAGGGGTGGCAAACACCCCAGAGGACAGGATCACACTTCAAAACGACCTTGACAGTTTAGAGAACTGGGCAAAAACAAACAAGATGAATTTTAACAGGGAGAAATGTAAAGTATTGCACTTGGGCAAAAAAAATGAGAGGCACAAATACAAAATGGGGGACACCTGGCTTGAGAGCAGTACATGTGAAAAGGATCTAGGAGTCTTGGTTGACCACAAACTTGACATGAGCCAACAGTGTGACGCGGCAGCTAAAAAAGCCAATGCAATTCTAGGCTGCATCAATAGGAGTATAGCATCTAGATCAAGGGAAGTAATAGTGCCACTGTATTCTGCTCTGGTCAGACCTCACCTGGAGTACTGTGTCCAGTTCTGGGCACCACAATTCAAGAAGGACACTGACAAACTGGAACGTGTCCAGAGGAGGGCAACCAAAATGATCAAAGGCCTGGAAACGATGCCTTATGAGGAACGGCTAAGGGAGCTGGGCATGTTTAGCCTGGAGAAGAGGAGGTTAAGGGGTGATATGATAGCCAAGTTCAAATATATAAAGGGATGTCACATAGAGGAGGGAGAAAGGTTGTTTTCTGCTGCTCCAGAGAAGCGGACACGGAGCAATGGATCCAAACTACAAGAAAGAAGATTCCACCTAAACATTAGGAAGAACTTCCTGACAGTAAGAGCTGTTTGACAGTGGAATTTGCTGCCAAGGAGTGTGGTGGAGTCTCCTTCTTTGGAGGTCTTTAAGCAGAGGCTTGACAACCATATGTCAGGAGTGCTCTGATGGTGTTTCCTGCTTGGCAGGGGGTTGGACTCGATGGCCCTTGTGGTCTCTTCCAACTCTATGATTCTATGATTCTATGATTCTATGAATATTTAAAAGAATCTCTTAAGTGGTTTACAGTAATTTTACTTCTAAACAGAGATGGTTTTAATGTGCTAAATAAAATTATTTAAAAATAAGATACGCTGCTAAGGCTGTAATCAATATCTTCATTCTTGAAGGATGAGCCAAGTGAAACTATTCCCAAATCACTGGATTTTTCTAGGACTAAGTGATATGGATTTCAGAATGTTCCTTCAAATGTATTTAAGGTTATGAATCTTTGTTTCTTAAAGCTGATGTGGACTTCAAATCTTTTGCTCCACATTAGGTTACATTCTATTAGCACATCTTTTCATAGACTTATCATTGAAATAGCACAGTTTTCACTTTATTGTTATTTATCATATGCAGGTAACTCATAATCAGGAAAATGTGTTTGATCTCCAGTGGATGGATGACAGTGCTCTGTCACATGACTGTATTGAGTCTCTCCTAAAAAATATGGCATTGCATTTAAAAAGGCTTATAGATGAACGAGATGAGCATTCTGAGGTATGTGTCGTACTAGTTTTCCCCTTCTGCTAATGGATTTTTAGTTATTAAAGAAGTGTGTTAATTAGAAAAAAGCCTGGGAGTATAACTGCTCAACTATTTGCAAATACTGAAATTTGATAGATTTGTAGATTTTGTTGGTGTGTAGGTACACGTGGCCCCTTTCAGTGGTTATATTTTTAATATTACACTTCTTTAAAAACAACAACCAGCTTTTGCTGAAAATAGCTGGCAGCTAAAAGCAACGGTTGACCTGTTTGCACATCACATTAAACCATAGCTTAAAACCAACTATGGCGGCTTTAAGTGAATGAACAGAGTGCTGATGCACTCCTCAGAAGTTCACGTAGCACTCTTCCCCTGCTCTTACTGTTGCCATTAGAATACAGAAATATGATTTTTAATTGTCGTCTTCTCAGTTCTCTAAACTGAGTGGTATTGGCAGATGAGCATCTTGGCCTTGAAAAATATGGGTTAAATTCACACACGCCTACTTATGGACTCAGAGGCAAGAATATTGAAAATCAGTTATCTAGTGTCATGGACTGGCTGGATGCAGAGGAGTAGTGGGAGCACCAGCTGGGGAACTCCTTAAGGAACCCCCAGGGAAGAAGGCTCGGGTTCAGGGGATTGGCGGTGGGACAATGATGATTGGTCAGAGAGAGGAGGAGCAGACTGGGAAGAGGAGGAGGAGGAGGTATTAGCAGCAGGAGAGGTGACAGGGTTTAGTGAACAGGAAGAATCTGTGGCAGAGAGCAGAGGGTGGTCAAGAGGCAGAGTGGAGACAAGCTGCTGAAGAATCCAGGGAGTCTCCCCCTCCTGCTGCATCCAGCGGCTCTCCTTGAACTCACAGAGAAATGAAACAGGCAGAACAGAGAGTGGGTGTGTGCAGGCACAGCCTGAGCTTGCATGGGAAAGACCCTGGGGAGGAGAAGTCCTGGTGGACATTGGGAAGGCCTTCAGTCCTTGCAACTGCTTCATTGGGGCAAGACCCAGAAAGAGTTACTGAGACCAGTAGGCGTGAGCTGTAGTTTGTTTCCTTAAATAAAAATTTAACTGCCCTGGCCTCGGGTGATTTCCCCCCCCCCCCATTGCTGACCTACACCTGACTCCAGCCCTGACATGCTTATGTGGTAATCAAAGATTTCATGTTGTATCTTAGACTATCATAGAACTCTCTGAAGAACGAGACTCTCTTCATTTTCTACCTCATGCATCAGCAGCACAATCACCTTGTGGATCTCCAGGCATGAAGCGCACTGAAAGTAGGCAGCACTTATCAGTGGAACTAGCAGATGCCAAAGCAAAGATCAGAAGGCTTAGACAAGAGCTGTAAGTACACTGTGAAGAGCGCTAGACGGCACTGAGAAACTGTGGGCCCTTGGGGAAGTAGTGTAGAAATAGCCTTTTTAGCTTGAAGTTTTATATTGTTAGTATCTGTGTTATATATGCTGCTGTAGTTGTGTATCAGACTTGTATATGTGGTTAGTTAACAGTTCATGCCTATTTTCAGTTCAGATAGTTGGTAAGATGGAAAATAATGCTTAAAGTATCTTACATTCTTATAAGGGCTTCCAAATTCACCTTCTGTCTTATCTCAGTTACAATACTCCTAGGGTCAGGGTGTTTGAGTTTAACTTTCAAGTAAACAAGTGTAGATTTTGAATGATAAGTCACTTGGTGACTTCAATATGACTTCCAGTTATATGAATGTAGAACTGCAGCATAATTCTGTTGTGCTTACGCAGAGAAATATAAGCATTTTTGCAATTTGGCTCCTCTCTTTTCCAATGGTGTATTGGTGGTTTTGCAGGAATGAATTTCTGGATGAGTTCAGTATTTTTATAAAAAGATACGCAAGCACTTTGCACACATATTCAGGCTTGCAATCATTTTTCTTTTCTGAAGGTCAGTATCAAAAGTTCCTCAGTCTTTTGGTGATGGCATGTGAAGTGGTGTGAAGTACAGGCTTTTCTGCGTAGATTCGGGGAAAGCATTGGAAACTGAGTTTGTTGCAGGATGTGGTCCCTATGTTTATATATCCCTATTGTGTTGTCTTTTGTTGTGGGTAAATAACTGTTTTAGATTAAGGGAGTATTTCTAAGCAAGGACAGGCTTACCACTCAAAGGTCACAGAATTGTAGAATTGTAGAGTTGGAAGGCTCTTTTGAGAGATTTTGGACTGTAGAGAACACTGGACCTTTGGAGTTATGCTAAATGGCTACTAATTTAACAGCCTTATCCCAAAAGATTAAGAATAAATGTTAGTTGACAAATTTGTAAGAAGGTGGTGTTGGTGGTGTTTTTAAGTTGGCATTTGGTCTGTCATGTCCCTTCCTCTTCCATAGGGGAAGAATTTGGCAATCCTGACCAGCTGTGTGGCCTTAAAACATTTCTTGAATATAAGAATACGAGACAGCTCTGAACTGGAGCTCACTTTTTAAAAAATTACCTAAAGGGGTGGTAGTTGGAGGCAGAAAATGTCTATGAACAGTGGTATAGAGAAACAAGAATTTAGGGCAGTACAGCTCTGGTACTTTTGTCATAGCAGGATGACAGCACCATCCTTGCCATGGTTGTTTTATGGTTGACAGCTGATCCTAATAACTTTCTCTGCTGCTTTTGGGGATTTGTAATGAAGCGACAAAGCTTCCTGCACTTCTAGATTCTCCTTGGAGGTGTGACTGTGGACTTTTTGGTTTATGGCTAATGAAGGCTGTCATGAAGAGTGCCTACACTTTAAAATTTACCCCATCCCACTGACTTTGAAATCTACTGCCAGAAGCCACTATCTAAGTCTATTATACCAAATTCTAGGGTATTTCCGCCAATTTTTATCAGCTAGGATTTTCAAGTGTCTAACCTGGAACCAGTCACCTCCTTTCTTCCAGACATTGAATACTTATTGGTGACTGACAATGAAGTAAGCCTTCTAAGTAAGATTAAACTTTGGATATTATACACTCAATTCTGAGTCTGCAAACAAATCAGTTTTGTGTCAGTTTTCCTAAGTAAAGGATTTATTTGCAAAATATGTGGCAAATGAACGATAGCTGGCAGAAGGTGACAGCCCCTGGTGGGGTCAGCTTAGGTTAATGAAGTTGTTTTGCACTCAGCAACAGTTGTACTGGATGGCTATACATTTGTTTGCCATTATCATTCCACAATAGTCTTTTAAAATAACTTTATTTTTGGTTTTAAAAAATCCGTAAAAACAAGTGTTATCACCACATCCCTCAAATCAGGGTGTTGTGTTAGAAGAAATTTCTGCTTATTCTATCAGCTTTAACCTAAGTTGCCCAACAGCTGTTCTATAATTGTCTGGCCTTCTATTTAATTTTCTGATGTGTGCCATATGGTGCTGGGAACTTTGCCATTTGAATAATGGGAGGGTGCGCCTTTATTCCAGTGCCTGAGGTCAGGTCGATGACACCCCACTCAGTTGGGCTATTAACAGAGTGTCCCCTTTGAGTGGTATGCCTTCTGAGCTTTCTGGAATCCAGCCACATGCATGTGTGTTCCACTTGCTTTGTCTCATACACTGGGCTGCTTGACAGCTATGATGCTGCTCCCAAATGATAAAGTCCTATCCTGCCATTCATTGAACAGATTATAGCATGTATATTGAGTTTTCCAAGACAATAGCACTCAAATCTGAGAGTTAGTGTTGAATTGTCATTGTAGGAACTGTGTTTTGAATCGTAGCCCAGCCATGAACTCTGTGAGTGGCCTTAATAGACCCATATAAAATCTCAGTTATTCATCCCCATAATTGTGTGAGAGAAGTGATTCAAACACACTATAAATTGCAAGGTTTATTATTACCTGTTACCAAGACTAATTCAACCATCTTCGAGTTTTGTTATGGAACAGAGTTGCAGAGATACTAGCAAAAGCTCAACGCATACTGGGCAACCCCAACCCCGTTTAAATTTAGAGACTGAATGACTAAGAAAACAGGGTAATCCAGGGTAGAACTTCTTTCCCAACTGCCAATCAAAAGTTGATTATATATCAAGTACCTATCTGAAACAGTTGTGAGCACATGATGTTGCTCAGATTCCATCCAATTATATTAATAACTTTAGTGACTCCACTTTGGTTGATTGGACTGCAGCAGTGATAGTCTGGGTGAGTTCCAGTGGTGGTTTTCATCAAATAAGACAATAGAGGACAAACATAATATTGGGACATTTACAGGATAGCCTATACCTGCTAAGTATACTAAGAATGATGTAATTCTTACAAAAGAGTTTTGACTATATCTTCTAAAACTGACAGAGTTAATTGTTATCTCACTTCAACTCTCTCTCCGCCCCACAAGCATACACAAAGTAATATATTTTAGTCATCATGAGCACTGGAATATAAGAGAAACAGATCTCATTTTCTGATGTGTGGATTATTACATGTCTGCTGAAGTGAGCTTACTCAAGATATTCTGTAAACAGCTGCACTAGGAAAATTAATGCAAATTGCTGTTATTAATTTGACTGGCAGTTAATAGACTAAACAGTGCACACTGCTGCATTCTGTATAATTAAAAACAAATCATTTTATACTGTAGTTGAAGCACACAATGGAAGTATAGACATCACACGTTTGCAGTGTGTTGGATTTATTTACAAAAAAAAGTTACAAATAAAATGCTAAATTTATTGATTAAGTTGTTTTTAGTAGTTAGTACTACTGTACCCTGTAAATTACATTGCACTTAAAATTGCATATACAACAAGAAACTGATATACAGTGGTACCTCGGGTTACAGACGCTTCAGGTTACAGATTCCGCTAACCCAGAAATAGTACCTTGGGTTAAGAACTTTGCTTCAGGATGAGAACAGAAATCATGCGGTGGTGGCGGGAGGCCCCATTAGCTAAAGTGGTACCTCAGGTTAAGAACGGACCTCCAGAACCCGAAGTGTTTGTAACCCAAGGTGTTTGTAACCCGAGGTACCACTGTACTTATTTTAGGAAACTGCCTTATATCAAGTCAGAATGTTGACCCCTCAAGTCAGCGTAGTCTGACTAGCAGTGCCTATAAGGTTTCAGGCAGGAAAGAATTCCAGCCTACCTGGAGATGCCTGGGGTTGAACATAGATATAACCTTCTGATCTATGTCCCTTCCTCTCAGAGTTCATGTTCTGGTTCCATTTACAGCTTTCTCTACTAACTGCAATTCTTTATTTGGTTTTAAAACACAGAGCTAATATCCCTTATTGCAGTGGTTCCCACTTGGTGATCCACAGACCCCAGGGGGCCCAGTGTAACCCACCCAGGGGGTCATAGAATCATAGACCATGGCCCATACCAGTCAACTGGGGAGGGGGGCTACTGGGTTGCTTTTTTATTTTGATTATGTATTTTGTGGTTTTATATTTTGATTTTATTCTGTGAACTGCCTTGAGACCTCCAGGTATAGGACGGTATATACATTCAATAGATTTTTTAAAAAATTTACACACAAACACACTGTCCAAGCATCCCGTTTCACAGTGCCCAAAACCACATGAGATCGCAGGGCTCCAAAACACACATTTTTGGGCGCTGTGCTCTCTCGCAGGAGTGTAGCCCAGAAGATGCGCACCATAGTTCTGCGCAGGGACACGTTGGAGGGTATGGTGGTACCATTCACATAACAAAAACTACCACAGAGATATCAACATTTTCAAAAGCAGGGGATCCTAGTTAATTGGGAACCACTGTCTTACTTGATATGCTGTTAACTTTTGAAGAAATCTGTGATCCCCAGGTAAAGAGCAAGCCTGTGTTCATGAGAAAGATGTTAGATAAATTGTACTCACTAAGCATCAAGTTAAATAATGCATGTGATGTGATGGTGGGATTGGGGCGAAGTGACTTAGAGTGCAGAGAGTTAAGCACACTCCCAGCTCTTCCTGGTTCATGGTTGATGAGTCCAGAAGTTGGGTTTTTTTGCAAGACAAACAAAAAGCACCCTTCAGGCATTTGAAGTATAAATTCTGGTGTGAACTATGAAGGGGAAGTCTATTCATTTTGTTCTGTCCCTTTCTTCTTTAGTTCCTGTTTTTAATTAAATAATTTTATTTTTAGTGAGGAGAAGACTGAACAGTTACTGGATTGTAAGCAAGAACTGGAACAAATTGAAGCTGAATTGAAAAGACTGCAACAAGAGGTTTGGAAATTAAAGATAACTTCTCAGGCCATTGTGCTTAGATTAAGTATAGTTTATCAGTTTAATTAATTACATGTGTTGTCATGCTCCAAGCTAGGACCCTGAATTAAATAGGTTTTTGTGCTAAGGAGCTCTGGGTTCTGCCTCAAGTCCATATTTTGGTTTTTTTGGATGTGGTATTTTCCTGTTCTACTTGAGGTTCATTCAAATGTTTGGCCAATATGATATTATAAATTATATGAAACCTGTGTTGAAAAGTGTTTCCAAAAACATGGAAGAATAAAACTGACATGTAGAAAAAACAATTGGCATTACTTTTATAATGAGTTGTTACTGACTTCATCAGACTTTAATGACAAGTCATCAAACATAACTTGATTCCTACAGTTTAATTGAGTTTAAAGCAAGCAGAGCATGTTTGTGAAACTGGTCAATGGACAACTCAGTCTCATCAAGGGAATAATTCCTTTGAAGAGGAACATTACAGCATTGAAATTGCCTCAACACTTTTATATACATATAAGAAATAACATAGTTATCCTGGGATTAAGATAATTATTTGATTACCACCTTTTCTGTAAAACTAGCAATCGTGTTACAGTAATTGTTTCAACAGTGAGAATAATAGCTAAATAGCTAAATAATGAGATTCATATATTGGGGCTTCAGTTTTCCTCACAATTACTTTGAAGCAAACCTCATTGAAGTCATGCTTATTTCCATGTAAACTTGCGTAGGATTGAATTGGATGCAACGCATGCAGATTTCGTACGTGGATCTGAATGCATTTTGTGTTTTTGCTTCTCGTTGCCTTTAGTATTTTGAATAGCTTAGTGTCTTTCTCCAAGCTTTAATTTTGCCATCTTGCATGAAAACTCAGTGTTGCTCACTGCAGATCTGTGATGTCAATGTTTTCTTCTACAAAATAATTAATAATTAAATATGTTTGTTTTATTTGCTAGAATATGAATTTGCTTTCAGATGCCCGTTCTGCCAGGGTGTACCGTGATGAACTTGATGCTCTCAGAGAGAAGGCAATCAGGGTTGACAAGCTTGAAAGTGAAGTCAGTCGGTATAAGGAGAGGCTACACGATATTGAATTCTACAAGGCTAGAGTAGAGGTGACTTGAAATTCAAACATTAAAAATTAAATGTTTTATTCGATAGTAGCTTCTGAATCTGGTTGTTTTGAAGTCCTGATTTTCATATAATGGAAAGCTATGACTAACTGCAACTTCCTAGTTTCTTTCCCTGCTTGTGTGATTCGGGAGCAAAGCAGTTTCATACTAGGGGTTGTATACAAGCACACAAAACTTGTCCACATCAGTCACTTAATCCTACCCTTCTGTACTGAAGGTTTGTTTGTTTGTTTTTAGTGTTAGGGATTTTGGTGTTTGGATTTATTTATTTTTAAGATTGTTATTACCATTTTTCATAATACAATAAAACATAGAAATGTAGGAAAAAAATAAAAAACAGGGTCAGGAGCAAATCAGCCATAAATCATATGATGTAAGTGAAGTTAGCTCTTTACTAGAAAAACAGGACCTGCTCAGGAGTGCCAGGCCTAATGCGCACAACAATGCTTTGGTGGGTATTGCCCCTGTGAGGCAATTATGGAGACTGGAGGTCCCCGCCTTCCCACAGCTGCCTAAGCCTCCTCCTCTCCCCAGGTCCTTCCCAAGCATCTGAGACTACGCCTAAGTGCCTATCTTTGTTCCTCCTGCTTCATACCTCTTCAGACCAAGGGGGAGGGGAGTCTGTTGCAGCAAGGCGGGGGAAAACCATTGCTTTTTCACTGGCTGACTTGTCTCTCCCTCTTGGCCCTCCTCCTTTCCTGCTTCTGCCTCTGCTTCTGATTCTGGACTTCTCTCTGCCACAGACTCTCCCTGCTCACTAAAGCCTGTTACCTCTTGAACTCCCAAACCACCTCCTCCCAGGTTTCTCCTTTTGACTTCTCATTGTATTCCCACCACCAATCCCTGGGCTCTAAGCCTCCTTCCCTCAGGGGTTCCCCAGTCGGTGCCTCCCACCATTCCTCTGCGTCCAGCTAGTCCATGACATACAGGTACAAAAAGTACATATAGAATTGGAGTCTTCTCTTAAAGATAGTTGTTAACCTTTTGTTGTTTAGTCGTGTCCAACTCTTCGTGACCCCAGGGACCAGAGCACGCCAGGCACTCCTGTCTTCCACTGCCTCCCGCAGTTTGGTCAGACTCATGTTTGTAGCTTCGAGAACACTGTCCAACCATCTCGTCCTCTGTCGTCCCCTTCTCCTTGTGCCCTCCATCTTTCCCAGCATCAGAGTCTTTTCCAGGGAGTCTTCTCTTCTCATGAGGTGGCCAAAGTATTGGAGCCTCAGCTTCACGATCTGTCTTTCCAGTGAGCACTCAGGGCTGATTTCCTTAAGAATGGATATAAATGTTAACCTTTACTATCCAAATAATGTAATATCTCCTCCCAGCTCTCACCTAAAATCTTTCCTTTCTCCTCCCAGCCTCTCACCCTGGGAGACCAACATACCCAGGGTCTCTCCATCAACCATCTACCATCCCCATGAGTGGACAATCCCTGGACCCTAATAATGCCTCAAGCAGAAGACTTGGTATTTGAATTTAGAATCTGCTTCTGTGACTTCCAAAGTGGATTCTGAATATTAATACAATTTTAGCTCAGGGGTCAGAACGATGTAGCTGTAACTGTCAGGAGGTCCTACACACGAGTAGGAGTCCAGCAGAGACACATGCCTGACTGGCATGTTCTCTCCCTCCTGGTTGTTCGTTCGGGAGATTCAAAAGCTTTTTCCGGCCCGAACATCACAGGGACTGATACCAAGAGGTATCACCACACTTCAGGATCAGCAGAGTATACGCAGTCAGCATTCAGACTCAGTAGGGCAGCTTTTTGGCTAAACTACATTTATTTACGTACATATACACACTCGGAGCATCGTAACTCAGCTCCTTCCTCTTCAGCATCAGACAGTGAAGAGAAAGGACAAAAATCCTACATCATGGAAACACAGTAATAAAAACATCCTGTCTCTGTCGCTTCCCACAATGTGGAATGAAAACATACACCGTCATGTGATAAAAACAATCCCATGACTGCAACACTGGGAATGAATCCTAACAGTAACTTCATCAAACTTTTGTGTGTTTGACACAACTCTGTTAAAAGCTTAATTCAGCAAATTATCACTTTTGTTCAGTTCATGCCATTTTTATGTTCTTTGACACAGTGATCCTCAGCTTCAGTTTTCTTTCTGATTATTGTAGGAGCTAAAAGAAGATAATCAAGTACTGCTAGAAACAAAGACAATGTTGGAAGATCAGTTGGAGGGAACCCGAGCCCGTTCTGATAAACTGCACGAACTGGAAAAGGAAAACTTACAGTTAAAGGCAAAACTTCATGATATGGAAACGGTGAGCATACAACATGAGACATCAGATGTGTAGGTTTTAAAAACAGAATTATGCAGGATGAATTATTATAGGTGACATCCAGTGGTATTTGCCTATTTGCTTAGTGGGACTTCCTACCTGTGTGTTCCAGATCTGCTCTGGAGAGTCCCCTAACTCTGGACTCCTGCTGCATAACCAAAAGCCTGCTCACGTGACATTGAATGTCACTCTATGAATCTGCTAAGGCATGGTTTGTTAACAAACACGGAATGTTGGCTTTATATTGAATCAGGCAGTTGGTTTATCTAGCTTAGTACTCTCCAGAGTTTTGGACAAGAGGATTTCCAGCCTTGAGATTTCAGGGATTGAAACTGGGACCTTTTGTATGCAAAGTTTGTGCTCTTCCACTTAAATATCGCCGTTCTACTAACCTCATCTTTACTAAAACAATTTAAAAAGTTATTAATGATACTATGTTGTGCTTGATTTTTTTTAAAAAAAAAATCAACCGGTTTTATTTATTTATTATTATTTATTTGTTTGTTTGCTTGCTTTTTTCTTAAGAAACAAGGATGTTTGATATAGAATGATTTTGGTAACACTGTATTGCTATAACATTCATTAAAAAATTAATGGTTGATTTTTTAAAATTATGTTTTCAAGGATAGGATAGCATTGCATCATAATTTTTAACATCTGATAATAAGATTGTATATTCAGGGGGCGACCATTTTAGGTGCGTCCAATTGACACATGATTGCCAACGCACACGTCCTTTTGTATCTGGAAGAGGGCAGAATGTTGGGGGGGGGCAGGGAGTGCTTATGCACACTCTACCGGCATAAGTTTAAATAAGTTTTTTCCCAATGCTAACACTAGATCAAGATCCTTTAACATAAAAAGATTAAGTCAGTAGCATTTTGCAAATTTTTTGTTACTGAAATAGGTTTGTGCACTTTGAGAAGAACTTTTAAAGAGTTTTTTCCCCATATAAACAATGTTTAAGGAACGTGATATGGACCGGAAGAAAATTGAGGAACTTATGGAGGAAAATATGACACTTGAAATGGCTCAGAAGCAAAGTATGGATGAATCACTGCATTTGGGCTGGGAACTTGAACAAATAAACAGATCATCCGAACTTTCTGAAGGTAGATGAAGATTTAATTCTGCATTTTCTTATTTTCTTCTGTTTATATGGGAAATAGGCAGCTGAACATTGCAAATACTCCACATGCTGTAAACAGATATTCTGTAAACAGTTCTCCTTGGATGGGCCCAAAGATGTAGCCATGTGAACAAAGTAATATGGCTCAACAATAGGTGAACCATAGGCATAGTTTGGTGTTTGGGCTGGGATAGCTAAATATATAATAGAGTGGTACCTTGGGTTACATACGCTTCAGGTTACAGACTCCGCTAACCCAGAAATAGTGCTTCAGGTTAAGAACTTTGCTTCAGGATGAGAACAGAAATCGTGCAGCGGCAGCAGCAGGAGGCCCCATTAGCTAAAGTGGTGCTTCAGGTTAAGAACAGTTTCAGGTTAAGAACAGACTTCCGGAACGAACTAAGTACTTAAACTGAGGTACCACTGTAGTTTAAGGAAGGTTGCTGGTTGGATTCACATGTAACTCCAAGCCAGAGTTAAAACACACAAAAGTGTGTACAAGCCAGCAACACACCATTATGTCACATCATGTTTTGTTGACAGTAGACAAATGATCATTAAATTATGGCTTAGTCTTATGGGAGAACTATTATGTCTTCAGCGGTGTGTGGCAGCAGCACGATCAAATAGGGGGTGGTGTGGTTCGCTTCAACATGGTTCCAAGGGTGCAGTGTCAATTGCATATAAGAAATACCTACAGATAATGGATGGGAAGCTTAAGTCATTGCCATTTTTTTTTTAAACAAACCCACAGCGCCACGAAAGTCACTTGGTCATGAAGTGAATGAACTGACATCAAGTAGGTTACTGAAACTAGAAATGGAAAACCAAAGTTTGCTAAAGACTGTGGAAGAGTTGCAAAATGCAGTGGGATCTGCAGAAGGCAGCAGTTCAAAAATGCTGAAAATGGAAAAGGAAAACCAAAGACTAAGTAAAAAGGTACCATTTTTATTGTATTTTTAAAATAGGAAGAAGGCAAATCCCAGCAAATAATTCAAAAATGGAGTTTCTAAAAACATCTTAGAGTGTTAAAGTTTCTGTAAGCTTTCTATAATCAACTTCATTGTAGGTTCCCTGTCTTAAGTCTCGTTTTAAACAAATGTTTTGTTTAATATTATCTGTGTACGTTTAGCCAGAGTATTTACTGATTAGTTTGACAAGCATTTTCTGAAATAAAGCAGCTGTTAATGGTTTACTTTTTTTTTTGTATACTTTTTCAAAATTATATATATTAAATATGTGGCCTATTTATTAGTTAGACCTTTTCTGCCCTGTTTCAGGTAACTTTTCTCAAAATTGGAACAGAACAGAAAAAATATGAAGAAACACAATTGACAAATGCCATTTGATACATAATAAAGAAAACAAAAATTCTGCTTTGTTCTAAACCCATCTTTTTAAATTTTGTGGTGTTATGCTACCTAGAAATATTTCATCCAAGTACCGTATTTTTTTCTCTATAAGACTCACTTTTTCCCTCCTAAAAAGTAAGGGGAAATGTGTGTGCGTCTTATGGAGCGAATGCAGGCTGCGCAGCTATCCCAGAAGCCAGAACAGCAAGAGGGATTGCTGCTTTCACTGTGCAGCGATCCCTCTTGCTGTTCTGGCTTCTGAGATTCAGAATACAGTGGTACCCCGCAAGACGAATGCCTCGGAAGCCGAAAAACTCGCTAGACGAAGGAGTTTTTCATTTTCTTAGCCGCTTCGCAAGACGCATTTCCCTATGGGCTTGCTTCGCAAAACGAAGCTTGCCCCGCAAGCTCCGGGGATAGCGGGGAAGCGCAGCGCGCCTTCCCCGCTGTCCCCGGACCTCTTTTGAAGCAAGGGGCGGCGGGGAGAAGATCGCTTCTCCCCGCCGCCCCTTGCTTCGAAAGAGGGGACAGAGGGGAAGGCGCGCGTGGACCCCTTTTGAACCAAGGGGCGGCAACGGGGAGAAGCGATTCTCCCCGCTGCCCCTTCCCTTGCTTTAAAACAGCGGCGCTTCCCCTCTGTCTCCGGATGGTCTCCATAGGAACGCATTGATTGATTTTCAATGCATTCCTATGGGAAACCGTGCTTCGCAAGACGGAAAACTCGCAAGAAGAAAAAACTTGCGGAACGAATTAATTTCGTCTTGCGAGGCACCACTGTATTTGTTTTCCTCCTCCAAAAACTCGGTGCGTCTTGTGGTCTGGTGCGTCTTATAGAGCAAAAAATACGGTATATTTTGCTGTAACTGTATATTAATGTTTTGGTGGGTTACACACACTCTTAAGTTTCCTTTGGCAAACCAGGCTTCTAAACAGCAACCACTTTTGAAGGCACAGTTTGGAATCAAAGCACACCTGCAAATACCATAAAAGGGGCTGGTTATCAGTGCTAATCAGCAGACCAGGAGCCTTCCATTTTTTATTAACTGCAGTTGCCTGTTTCTTCTATACCCAACAAAGAATGATTAATCCTAACAATGGTTTAGTTGAAACAAGCCGCCTTCAATCCTTGAGTTATGAATCTGACTTGTTTCAACAAATTGTAGTTAAGATTAACCTACAGTAGAGCTGGGATGTAATGCTAAACTCTGGCTAATCAAAAAACAGATGTGAAAGCTGTTGATCAACACTTCACAGGCACACTGGTAGAGGAGAATGTAGAAGCCCAAGGCTTGCTGCAGTTTATCGCTGTCAAAATAATGATTTATTATTATATTTAAAGTGTTTTTGATTCTAATACAAATAACTGTTTTAATCCGCAAGATGTTCAATGTATTTTAACACTCTTTTACAAAATGCAGTATAAATTCTTGTGCAGAACTATATTTTCAATAGAAGCTACATAAATTTTCAGAAATAAAGGTATTGAAAAACCAGATATTCTGGACACTTCTGTATGTTTTCCTTGGTCTTTAATTTCTCTTATAGGAAAATTTCATTTTGGGGGATACGGACTTAAGAAACAAATAATAGCTAAAAACTTTCGGCATATCTTATACACTGTAATGTGAAATTTTATCAATTTTATTTTGTTTTTCTCTCTCTAGCTGGAAGGACTTGAGAAGGAACTTTCTGAAGAGAAACAAGGTCTTCAGAATAGTCAGAATCTTAGCAAAGATCTAATGAAAGAGAAAGCCCAACTTGAAAAGACTATTGAGACTCTAAGAGAAAACTCAGAGAGACAGGTAAAATGACAAAGTTTTCCGCTTGTCAACCATAACTTTCTTTAGATGGTCAAGACTGACATTTTAAAATAATTGTATATGTTATATTATAGGATATGGTATTCATGGTCAATTTTTCCTGCTACCATTTTCATGTTTTTTCAAAGATGTTATTTGCCTTTTTCTATTTCTCCACTTTGTCAGAATGCCTTGTGGGTGGACTATGTCCATGTTTTTCACTAGTATCTAAGCAGGCAGAGAAGCTTCATGCTTTAGTAATCGTCTGTACTGCGTTTCTTTCAGTCCTAGTGTTTTCTAACATTGCAATCCTAACAATGGATTGTCTCCAATGCTAATCGTACTTGGAGTAGCTACAGTGACATTAATAAGCTCTTTTAATTTACGGTCCTTAATTTCAGTGGCTCTATTCTGAGCAAAACTTAGTTGGCTACAACCCTGTTTACCCCAAAGTTCTGTATTTTTCCGTGTATAAGACTAGGGATTTTTTTAAACCAAAAAATTAGGTTTAAAATTGGGCTCATCTTATACACGGGTAGTGCTGAGGGGTGTTTTCTTAATTTGGAGTCCCCCAAAATAGGGGGCGTGTTGTACATGGTGGCATCTTATACACGGGAAAAATACGGTAAGTCTAGTTGAATTCATTGTGACTTACCGAGTTAAGTAGAATTGGAATTGTGATTCAAGGATCCGTCACCCGCTTTAAGATAAGAAAGACGCATGGACACGGTATATAAGGTTAATGGGCTAAAAAAGGCCACAACTTTATTGATTACAGCATGTGAGAGGTATTGGCTTAGGCGTTGGATAAACCACAGCGACTGACTCCACCCCCTCAGGGAGGGGTGAGTCTATCAAGGGTTAACCACCAGTGGGAGGAGCCTGTTGATGCAAATACAACTGAAAGCTCCCCCTGATGTCACCGGGGGTCGTGCCATGGGGTAGCAGCACAATGGACAGGAAGCGCTGCCGCTGCTGCAGCCGCGTTTGAGCAGCGAAACCCTACCCACAAGCCTCCACCTGGTTCGTTGGCTACCCGGGGGCGTGGCGCGGCAGCCGGGATGGTTGGGCAGGGACCAAAACAACCCCTGCCAAGGGGGGAAATGGCTCCCGCTCACAACTCCTCCCCTCTGCATGGAGGAGAGGCTTTGCAGTTTAAGTGCTTAACTAAGGCCTTCCTCCTTGGCAAAACCTTTCCAATTCTACTTTAGTTCTTTGGGTCATACAACCATTCATAATCTTGAGCTCAAAGAAGTCCAGGTACCAAAATGTTAGCCTTCCATCCTCAGTCAGTACTGTTAAATGAAACCCCATATGTTGGTGTAGCAGACAGAATTCTTAAAGAAGAACCCCGTGAGATTCTAGAGCATCTTGCTCTCCGATGCCCCGAAATAGGATGAGATCTAGGTTTAATAGGTTTGTAGGTGAGGCAGTTCTGTGATTGCTTCACAGCATACCAAAGATTCAAACTGACTTAATACTTTTGTGTTCTTTAACGCTTGAAATATTTTTTGTAACTAATTTTGTTAATGTAAAATCTTTTTAGCCTGGTTTAAACTTTCATTTCAATTAGAAGTTACCTGAAAGTACCAAATAGGCCTAGGATTAAATTAGGAGTTAATTAAATCAATGAGATTTAGAATGTTAAGAAAAGTTAAGAAATTTGACTATAATTGGAATATTGTTTTTGAATAATGATATTGGAAAACTGCTACATTCAGTTACAAGGAAATTCAAATGGGAGGGACTAGAGGAAGTCAAGCAATATGTTTATGAGATTGGAAGTTTAATTAATTAATCAATTTGTATTGTTTGTGTTTGTTGTTATATCTGTTTTTATTCGCTTTATTTGTTTTATGTGGTTTTTTTATTTGTTTCAGTTGTTTTATAGTATGTGTTATATTTGTATGAAACTCAATAAACATTATTGTAAAAAAATAAACTTTCATTTCAATTACTTAGATTAAAATCCTGGAACAAGAGAATGAGCATTTGAATCGAACAGTGGCTTCCCTCAGACAGCGTTCACAAATCAGTGCTGAAGCAAGAGTGAAAGATATTGAAAAGGAAAATAAAATTCTCCATGAATCTATTAAAGAGACAAGCAGTAAATTAAATAAGATAGAATTTGAAAAGAAGCAACTGAAGAAAGAGTTAGAGCATTATAAAGAGAAGGGAGAAAGAGCAGATGAACTGGAGAAAGAAGTTCAACATCTTGAAAAAGAAAACGAACTATTACAGAAAAAGATTACCAACTTAAAGATTACATGTGAAAAAATAGATTCCTTAGAACAAGAGAACTCAAGTCTAGACACTGAAAACAGAAAGCTGAAAAAGGCTCTAGATAGTCTTAAAAATCTCAGCTTTCAATTAGAGTCATTAGAGAAAGAGAACACACAACTTGATGAAGAGAATTTAGAGCTCAGAAGAACAGTTGAAACTTTGAAAAGTACAAATATCAAGATGGCTCAGTTAGAGCTAGAAAATAAAGAACTGGAAAGTGAGAAAGGACAGCTTCAAAAGAGCCTGGATCTTATGAAAACTTCTTTTAAGAAGACCGAACGCTTAGAAGTAAGTTATCAGGGTTTGGATACAGAAAACCAAAGACTGCAGAAAGCCCTAGAAAACACCAACAAAAAGATTCAGCATCTAGAAAGTGAACTACAGGATCTAGAGACGGAAAATCAAACCTTACAAAAAAACCTGGAAGAACTCAAAATCTCTAGTAAACGCTTAGAAAAATTAGAAAAAGAGAACAAGCTTTTGGAACAAGAGACCTCTCAGCTAGAAAAAGACAAGAAACAGCTGGAAAAAGAGAACAAGAGGCTTCGACAACAAGCAGATATTAAGGACAGCACATTAGAAGAGAATAATGTAAAAATTGGTGATCTGGAAAAAGAGAACAAGTCACTCGTTAAGGAAATTGGTATATGTAAAGAAGCTTCTATTCGTTTAAAAGAGATTGAAAAGGAAAATAAAGAGCTTGTAAAAAGAGCCACCATTGACAAGAAAACACTTGTCACATTACGGGAGGTAATATTTCCTACTGAATGATATACAATAATTATAAAGGGTAATGCAGCTGTAACATTCAAAAAATTCTAACTGTCAATTTCATGCAATAATTCATGCAAATTTAATGTATTTTTGTTTTATTTGTATATTCATGAGCTTGGTGGATTCTTAGTTGCTCATACATTAAGAAGAAATGGTGACAGAAGATGTTCATACTTCTTTTTGTGCCCCCTGTGTTATGAGCAAAGCAGAAATGTTTGCATTTGAGCCGTGTGAATATCATGGACTCTCACACTGCAATGCAGGCAGCAGTTGCCAGCACTTCCTTTGCTTCCACACTGGGACCTGTTGGCACTTTTGAGACATTGTGGAATAATTATTACCTTGGAAGCAGAATTAAAATGATGGTTTCTGTGTAGCACAGGTGGACTGTATAATATCTAGCACTTGCCCTCCTCATTGCTCCTTTTCTAATATTTATTCATAAGCAGGTCCCCTGCAACATTAGTTATTGGCTTCCTCCTTGCAGTAATGAGTGTGTCCTTAATTAATCAGCTTCTCTTCTCCATGGTGACAAGCCTGGTTTCCTATAATTCTCCCCCACTTTACTTTTTATACTGAAATGATAGCCATTTTGCTATGAAACAGTGAAAGGAAACCAGTAATTTACACAGGCACCAGAAGCTGACTAATTAAGGGCTAATTGATAACTAGTCCTCCAGCTGCATACGAACTGAAATGAAGAAATAATGAGGAAGAAACTGCAAGAAGGAAACTTTTCATTGAAGGCACACTAGTTCTTAAAAGCTGTGATGGCACTTTGGCTGTCCACACTGAACAGGCTGGTGCTGTGATTGTGTTTCATTGCAAAAAAGAGCAGGAGTACAACAGCGACAGTACCAGAATACAACCATTTGACAATCTGGATACTCCATAAAAAGCAAATGAATAAAGAAAGACAATTTCAATGAAAGGAGCTAGCATGAAAGCAATTGTTATAACACTTGATGGCTCTATTATTCAGGACCATATGTACTGAACATTTGAACTATCTTGTTGGATTTAGTAACTTAATATAAAATTAGTGGGTTGTATCCAATGGTGGCTTAATGTGAGGGGAAAACGCTTCTGCCCAAGCAAACTGGGTCACTTCATCTTTCCTACCTACCTAACACTTCCCCAAAGCTGCTTCTGAGGGATGTGGAATCCACTGGGACAGAAGAGGCTACCGTTGGGGAATTGGAGAAGAGTGAGTTTTCCAATTTAAACAAAAGTTCTTTCTGCTGAGGCAAGGCCAGCATTGGATATATTAACTACAAAATACCCAGCAAAAATAAAGGAGACAAACCTTTGAAATGAATTCATATTTGTTTTTGGAATATAATTGCTGATTAACTAGAAGTTTATGCAGTAAGTGTGAATAGGATGGAGACAAAATATAGTTTTTTCAGAGAGCTGAAGGTGGTTTGAAATAAGGATCACAGCTTTATTGCATGTATCTACATTTTAATTTCAAATCTGGCAAACTGATTTGGCATATTTTTGTAGAATTTTCAAAAACCTAAAAAAAAGAAAATTAATGGGAGACAACTGAGATAAAAAATATTTGTGTTCAGCATTGAAAGGGAAACCTCTCTTAAAGCCACTTTCAACTTCCTTAAAATCTATTGCCTGAGTCTCCTGCTGTAGTCTCTAGAAATGGCATTATTGCAATATTATACGTTCAACACATTTTCAAAAATCTATTTAAAGGATTTGGTGAATGAAAAACTGAAGACACAGCAGATGAATAATGATTTAGAAAAGCTTACACATGAACTTGAAAAGATAGGTTTAAATAAGGAGCGCCTCTTGCATGATGAGCAGAGTTCAGATGATAGGTGAGTATATTAAGGCCTCTTTGGAATAGGTTGAGAGCAGTTCCTTATGGCATTCTGCAATAACTGTTTTTCACAGGATATGCTCCTGAATGTATCTGAACAGCTACTACAGTGTGCACTTCTTTCAGGTTCCACTTTCAATTTTGTTGTAAGAAATTCTGTATGTCATCCGAGGAGTAAACATCTCTTTGCAGAGTTGGTATAGACACTTTGAGCACTTATCTCCAACAGTTATTTACTATATCCTTTATAATAGATTCCTGAGTCTATCAGCGGGGGGGGGGGGGGGGGGGGGGAATCAGTATCTCTGAAAGAGCTTTTGGCTCTCTTCAGCTTACTCCATCTGCCAATATAAAGCTAATAGCATACAAACATCTGTTTCCTTTACTTGGTCATGTGTTCCATCCTGTTCCTTGTGGAATTGGAGAAAATATGTGTTAACAAAAGCAGAATACTCCAGCTTCTGACCAGCCCTCCTGTCAGCATGCCACTCAGTTGAGAATAATGACTGGCGCTGTAGTCTGCTATTAGCAGTGATTGACATAATGATGGTGGCAAATTCAGAACCTTCTTATCTTGAGAGGAAGCCAGCATTATAATTGTATGTATCCAGTCTTACTTTCAGGATACTGTTGAGACAATGTAAGCTTTTCACAGTGAATTATCAAGACTTTCCCCCTTTAAAATAATTTTCATTGCTTTTTTCCACCCTAGAAGGTTTCATTTCTACCTAGTTTTCAATCATTAGCTCCTGACAACTACTTAAGAATCCTAGTTTGGTGCCCATGGAAGGGGTTCATTTCTATTACAGAGTGATGGATTTGATGTGGGAAGACCAAATTCAGTGGCAGTGATGTTGGCTTAGGGAGATGTTTGTGAGAGAGAAAGAGAGAGTTGAATAGAGAGGTTAAACAAGGAATTTTTTTTCTTGTGGTGAGAGGCTTCAATGGAAGGAGTAGCTTTTAGGTGTTAACTCGGTTTATCATCAAATTTTGCAATGGTGGGTGTCTACAGGATATGCTGCAGTTTGTGGTTTCAATTACCTTCACTCAGACTGGCTGCATGTGTGTTCCAGTCATGATAAAGTGTTGTATGCCCAAGCCTGGTGCAGGCAGCAGGTTACGCTGCTGGCAGGGGCCACTCCAAAGGGGAACACTTCTTTGGGAAGCTGTGTGGACCCTTTTATCAATTTTATTGGCCAGGGTTTTATGTGTGGTATTGTTCATTTCTATCCTTTGGGGCAGTGTTGTGTTTTTCTCTAGACTGTTTTCAGGGTAAGAGGCTGAAGGTGGTCTAGAGAGTAATGTGTGTTAGAGAAAATTAATTTCATTCCTATGGAGTGTGAGTCCAATCCTGCATGAAACTCTGCCTTTCTCGGGTGGGAAACTGGGGGAGTGGTGAGTTTTTATCCCAGATGAGAGCTGAGGTGTGTCACATTTGATATTTTTATTTTAAAAGTATCTCATAGTTTGAGTTCCCCTGACATTAACCTCTGCTGTATTCCTGTCATTTTGTAGAGGTGGCACAGGGTGGTAATATGTTTTTTTTTTGTTTTTTTTTAAATAAATTTTTATTCATATTTGCACATATATACAGAAAAAACATAAACAAAAAATCCACCACATACCTTATACAAATTATATCCACTTCACAAATCATAAATAAAATACATAACTGAATTAATCTCAACTGAGCCTTGGACTTCCCTCCACTCCTTTGGTAAGTATCGTATAAATTATATAATCACGTACTTTTTAACTCTTTTACATAAGCCTTTCCCGCTGTTAGAGTTATTTCAACCCCGCCAGTGTCACCTGAGATTTAGATTCCAAATACATTAAATATTTCTTCCAATTATCATGAAATTTCTGTTCGTCTTGGTCCCTTAATCTTCCTGATATTCTATCAAGCTCCGCATAATTTATCATTTTAACCTGCCAGTCACTTATATTGGGTATTACTTCTAATTTCCAATTTTGTGCTAACATAATTCTTGCAGCTGTCGTAGCATATAGAAACAAGGTCTTATCTTCTTTTTCAATTTCTTTACCGACCATTCCTAACAAAAAAGCTTCTGGCTTTTTGGGAAATGTATATTTCAAGATTTTTTTAAGTTCATTATAAACCAATTCCCAAAAGCCTCTCACTTTGCAACACGACCACCACATATGGTAGAGGTCACCTTCTACCTCTCTACACTTCCAGCATCTTTTATCCTTCAACTTATAAATCTTCACTAATTTCACTGGTGTGTGATACCACCTGTAGATCATTTTCCACAGGTTTTCCTTTAATGCCGTGCATGCCGTAAATCTCATATTCCTGTTCCATAGTTCCAACCACCTCTCAAAATCAATGTTATATCCGATGTCTATCGCCCACTTAATCATGGCCTCCTTCACCTCCTCATCTTTTGTATACCACTCCAGCAAAATATCATACATCCTTGACAGTGTTTTGTTCTTACCTTCTATAACTTCTACATTAAATTTAGATTTTTTATCTTCAAATCCTATTTTCTTTTTGTCCTCTTTTAGCAGATCATTTACTTGGTGGTATTGCAACCACCCTGTAAATAAATTTTTGATCTCTTCATATGGTCTAAGTTTAATCCCTTGATCTGTCTTCCAAGTTAGTTCTTCATAGGTGGCATTCTTCCCTTCCATGTTTATTTTTTTTATAGTTAACACCTCTATTGGTGAAATCCACCAAGGTGTCTTCCTTTCCAATATATTTTTATTTCTTTCCCATACTTGGAATAGTGGTCCCCTAAAAATATGATTTAGAAAGCCTCTATGAACTTTCACCTTTTCGTACCACAGGTACGAGTGCCACCCGTACCTGTTATCGAAACCTTCCAAGTCCAAGATGTCCCTATTTTCCAATCTTATTCAATCCTTCAGCCACAATAAGCACGCCGCTTCATAATATAAACTTAGATCCGGTAGGGAGAATCCCCCTCTTTCTTTTTTGTCCACCAATATTTTCATTTTTATTCGTGGTCTTTTGCCTTGCCAGATGTATTTCGCTAAGGCCCTTTGCCACTCTTTACACTGCTTCAGACCTTTTAGTACCGGAATGGTTTGGAACAGAAATAAGGGGTGGTAATATGTTTAGGAGGTGATACAGAGGTGAACAAAGGTATACAGTGGTACCTCGGGTTAAGTACTTAATTCATTCCGGAGGTCCGTTCTTAACCTGAAACTGTTCTTAACTTGAAGCACCGCTTTAGCTAATGGGGCCTCCTGCTGCTGTCACTCCGCCAGAGCACAATTTCTGTTCTCATCCTGAAGCAAAGTTCAAACTAATTAATTTTAGAATGAATGATTTTATAGTGTTGTTTATGTTGTACTTTTGTACTGTTTTATTGTTGTTAGCCGCCCTGAGCCCGGCTAAGGCTGGGGAGGGCGGGATATAAATAAAATTTATTATTATTATTATTATTATTAACCCGAGGTACTATTTCTGGGTTAGCAGAGTCTGTAACCTGAAGCGTTATGTAACCCAAAGCGTATGTAACCCGAGGTACCACTGTACAGGGAGGAGAAGGAGGGCTAGTTACATCAAAGCCAGGCTCCTTCTGCTTCACCCGCTGTATTTCAGAATCTGGGGGTGCTAGTAAGCCAGCTCCCCGCCTTGGTGCTGTGTCGCCAAATGCCAGATCTGTTCAGAATAAAATATTGACCATTCACAATTTGATCCTGGGTGAGGGAGCCAACTTGGCATGTATGACTGACACCTGGATGGATGAAGTTGGTGGCCCTAAGCTCACCCAGTTATGTTCACCTGGACGCTCAGTGCAGCACCATTTGAGGTCAGAGGGATGGGGCAGGGAAGTTGCAGTTGTGCATAGAAACCCCATCTCACCAGGAGACCAATCCCTACTGTGTCTGGATTTGAGGGATTGTTTGCGTTGTTGGGCCAGAGGACCAGAACAGGGATGTTTTTACTATACCATCCACCCTGCTGCATTAAGTCTCCCTTATTGAACTGGCAGAGGTTATAGAATAGAATCATAGAGTTGGAATAGACCACAAGGGCCATCGAGTCCAACCCCCTGCCAAGCAGGAAACACCATCAGAGCACTCCTGACATATGGTTGTCAAGCCTCTGCTTAAAGACCTCCAAAGAAGGAGACTCCACCACACTCCTTGGCAGCAAATTCCACTGTCGAACAGCTCTTACTGTCAGGAACTTCTTCCTAATGTTTAGGTGGAATCTTCTTTCTTGTAGTTTGGATCCATTGCTCCGTGTCCGCTTCTCTGGAGCATCAGAAAACAACCTTTCTCCCTCCTCTATATGACATCCTTTTATATATTTGAACATGGCTATCATATCCCCCCTTAACCTCCTCTTCTCCAGGCTAAACATGCCCAGCTCCCTTAGCTGTTCCTCATAAGGCATCGTTTCCAGGCCTTTGACCATTTTGGTTGTCGTCCTCTGGACACGTTCCAGTTTGTCAGTGTCCTTCTTGAACTGTGGTGCCCAGAACTGGACACAGTACTCCAGGTGAGGTCTGACCAGAGCAGAATACAGTGGCACTATTACTTCCCTTGATCTAGATGCTATACTCCTATTGATGCAGCCCAGAATTGCATTGGCTTTTTTAGCTGCCACGTCACACTGTTGGCTCATGTCAAGTTTGTGGTCAACCAAGACTCCTAGATCCTTTTCACATGTACTGCTCTCAAGCCAGGTGTCTCAGATTTGATGTTGGAAAATGTTTTCATGGTGGTGTAGGGGAAACTTTATTATCCATAGTGAAACTGTCCCATATGGACCAGTTCAGGACTTCATGGTCTCAATGACAGCCATGGAGTTGTCTCAGTATATCTGTGTCCTCACACCAGGTTGGACATAACCTTGACCTGGATGTGACCTTGACCATAGGAGAGCGAATTACTTTCTGAGTGAAATAGTTTTATTCTCAGAATGGATAATGATCAGACAAAATATATGATGGCATGAAAACTCTTGTTTACCTTTACCTAATTTTGCTGTACTTGGCCACACCTATATTTGTAAGTATTCCCGGATTTGCACTACATTCAGTCTGTGTGTTGACCTTCTATCCCTCCTCACATAAACCCTCTGTTATCTCTTGGCAGCATGGGGATGAACAGAGTGCAGCGTTTCCATTAATTTGAGCCAATGTTATTTCATGCTTTCTTAGCATTACATCACTTTAAGCCAGGAGAAAAATTTCCCACAGTCCAGTATTCAGAGGACATGTATGAAACTTTGGGAACTTGGCTACAGACACAACTGGTGTGAAAACAAGAGTTGCTGTAGACTTAATTTTGCAATAAAATGCAGAAAGCAAAGGGTAAAATCAGATGTGGACAGCATCAGTCAATTTGGCTATATTGAGCAATGGAAGTACTAGTTTAGAAATAGCAACTGTAGTGTTAGGTTCATACATTGTGAGTATATATAGGAAATCACCATGCACCTGTATGTTTATTCCTTCTCTTCTCTGCTCCCATTATGTTTTGAAGAACCAGGGTTGTGTGGTCCAGTCCTTTGTAGTGGAGGGTTGTAATCAAGCTCATTTTTTATCTTTGATTTTGTTGGACTGTAGCCAGAATGAAGACTGCTCACCAGCAATTCAGTCTCTTTGCATTCTGCATTGTTTATGTGCTAATCATACTCTCAGTATGATTAAATGTACATCTTCCGTTCTCTTAGGGCGTACCCAGACCATCATGGGTGACACATCTCAGTTTTGTCCTTTACTGTCGCAGAACAAGTTGCTTTTTTTATACGTATACACTTTCTGGAATTGTTTCTTTAGAGATTGCATTATTTTTTTGAATATTCTCCATTAAATACATTTGATGAAAGTGGTGGCAAAGGGATTAGGTCATGGCCTTTGAGGTCAGGAGATGGTGGTAGGCAGCTTCCTAAATCGCCATAGTAGCCAGATTTAGATTTTAAATTGGTCAGATGAACAAGCGCTATAGTGCTAAAGCATTAATTAAAAAGAGGATTGTGTCAGTACCCGCAGAGTAAAACTACTTCTCTCTAAACAGTTTAATGAGGTGTAAGAATTTGTACAAAATCTTGTATGTTTCAATCTCTTTTTAGATTATTGCAGACTTTATATTTTGAATGTTTTAAATAGTTGTTTTTATTGTTTCAACTGATTATTTTATTCTCTTTGGATTTGTGTGTTTTTTACATTCGAGTGGTTTCTAAATTTTATGAAATAAATAGAACAATAGGAAGTGAAGACAGCAGACTGTTGGGTGAACTGTGGTCCTGTCCTCACACAGATTTATTGAAAAACAGTCAAGCTATCACCTTGATGAAGCTTGTATATTTTCTTAGGGGATTGTCGTCTTCTTCTTGATAATTAAAACATTATTGTAATTTTTTCATTAATAGCAAATACAAGCTACTGGAGTCAAGATTAGAATCCACATTGAAAAAGTCACTTGAAATAAAAGAAGAAAAAATTGCTGCTTTGGAAGCTCGATTAGAAGAATCAACAAATTTAAATCAACAACTGCGCCAGGAACTTAAAACAGTAAAAAAATGAATATTTCTATTACCTTAGTTTTCAGTTGGTGCATAAATGACATAAAATTTCTTTAAATTGTTTCTAACAGTTATAAAGGTGTTAGAAAAAATCTATTTCTTATATTGTCAAAAGCTTTTTTCGAAAGATTTATGCACAGTGCTGCTTTTGATAAGCAAAATACATGCTGAATCATACTCTTGCTTTCTTAGTGAAAACAGTATATATATTACCAATTTATCTTCACAGAGATATATGAAAAATGTTGGTTTAAAAACAATTCAGTGCTTTCCATGCAGAAAACATTTTGGTTTTTTGACTTGGCAAATCTTAGGTGTTGCTGATAGCAGTAATTAAAGTGCTGTTCAGCTTCATGTTTAGCCCCTTTCTGAACAGCTGCCACTTGAGACTGCAGCATGTGGTTTTGCTAATTTTTGCTAGCATTTATTTATCTATAAAAGTGTGTGTGTGTGTGTGTATCTGTATGCCCTCTCCTAAAGTATCAGGGTGGTGTACCAGCAATCTAAAAACATAAAAATTAAAAGCAGTACAAAACAATGATTAAAATGATTGAAATAATAAACCCTAATGAGTAGAATCATTAAAATTTAAAACAAGTGCATAGGCCTGTTGGTGCAAAAGTCTCCAAAGAGAGGCCACAAAGTCCAAAATGAGGATTCCTGCTGAATCTCTGCTGGAAGAATGTTCCGCAGTATGGAACTTCTGGTTGGGGCCCATCAGGCCTTTGTAACATGGGGGACAACAACCAGTACTCCTCAAGATGACCTCAGTGTGAGTGAACTGCAGTGTAAGGGCTCATGTGGTCCTTGTGTAATGTGGAGTAGAGGCTAGTGGGCCAGTTAGTTGAGCTGAATGAAACTACACCTGAGACACTGAATGGTAGGCATGTTTGCAAAAAGCTGTGAAAGTAGCAGTCCCTCAGAAAGATGCTCTCCTTGTCATTAGTCTACCTCAAAAGGCCAGACTAAGCAACAGACATGAGAGTAACAATTGGGTTGCCACCAAATCCCTGTAAAGTCTGGGGTGGGGTGTAATCTAAGCTGCGCTGGGGCAGGAAAGAGGCGTGTTGAACCCCTCCACAAACCATACTTTCCCTCTGAAACTGCCTCTCTTATTGCTTTTTTCCCTATGGGGATCAAAGACAGGTTGGAACCTTTGGTGAATGAAAAACACCTGTGGCAAGGCCATTTTTTCTAATTAAATAATAATAATAAAGTTGCCTTGGCATGCTTAGGACTTAGTAGGATTTAGTATTTTACATTTGAAATAGAATTCATTGATCTTTAGGTGAAAAAGAATTATGAGGCCCTCAAGCAAAGACAAGAGGAAGAGAAAATGGTACAGAATTGTTCGTCAAAAACTGATGAAGAAAGTTTGTCTGTCAATAAATGGGAACGAGAGAGCCAAGAAACTACTAGAGAACTTTTAAAGGTTAAAGATAGATTGATTGAAGTTGAGAGAAATGTAAGTAATAATTTGGATTATTTTAATAATTTTACCCTAATTGTCAGCCTGTGTAGTATATAGTAAGCCACATTTTGTTGCCATGGATATAACAAAAGAATAGGCTAGTAATTAGGGTACTCTGATCTAATACTGTGCTTCAAAGAACATACCGTTTATTGGAAATAAATGTAGTTGATTTCAGCATAACTTATTATGCCTCTCCGCCTGTCTTATTTCTCTCTTGCATGCATACATAGGTACACCACATTGAGTAAACCCACTTTCATCAGAAAGCAAACCCATGCTTTGTGTGATTTCTTCTGACTGCAATAATGTCTCCATACTTTGGATTGTTTGGTGTAAAATAGAAGTCTGAATTTTATCAATATTTTGTTCATTTAAATGGTGCATGTATGTAATACATTTTGTTCCTTTTTAAAGAACGCAACTCTGCAGGCAGAGAAGCAAGCCCTGAAAACACAACTAAAGCAGCTTGAGACGCAGAACAATAATGTGCAAGCTCAGATTGTGGCACTTCAGAGACAGACTGTTTCCTTACAGGAGCAAAATACAACGCTGCAAACTCAGAATGCCAAGCTTCAGGTTCTGTTTTCACAAATTTGTATTTATCTCCCAACCGCAATATAGAATTTACAAGTGAAAGCCTTGCTGTTAATTCACATGGCAGTAGCAGCAGCTATTATTGTGACACTCAAGGGAAACCTATATTTTGAACATAAGTGGTTTGACTGGTGGGCAGTGCCCCATCTTTAGTAACTCCCTAGCTCCCTGGGCTAAATCTACCTCCAAGAACCAAGAAGTTCTTTTGGATAGCTCCCATTACTATTGGATTGTTTTGTACTTCATTTTTTCACTTCTTCGATGATCACATGCCAGTATCATTTTGAGTCCCTCTATATCCCTTTTGTTGTGGTATGGCTTAAGTACTGCAAAATGGGGGTGGGTTCTTGTTCTACAGCCCTATGATTCCATCTCTTCAATTTAGAGAGATATCTCTGATTTCCCAACCCTAATTAGAACTTGGTAACAAGAGTTTGAGTTTCCTGCTTCTGTTACATTTAGGTATCTTAGAGACAAAAACAAAAAAACCATTTAGTTCCTCTTGCATTCTAGAACAGGTGTGAAATTTTTCAGAAGGGTAATCTATAGGAAAGGATCAGAAGAATCTCTGTGAGGCTAGATGTAGAATTTGTAATCTGTTTGACAAAGAAAACAGGTCAGTACAGGCGTCCCCCCAGTTAGGTGGGCGTTATACTCCTGCACACATAAGTGAAATCAAGTGGGGAGCACCCTTTAAACACCTCTCTGCTTTCTCTTCAATCCATACCAAAAATACTGTATCCACAACTAGAATTGAAGCTATGGGGTTGGCAGGAGGCTGGCAAACACATGCTGTTAGGCGGGGAGACTGAGCAGCGGAAACAAAGCCCTGCTGCACCCCCGGTATCTTCTATCTCACCATTTCCTGGTATGAGTCTATTTAATTGTTTCCCAGCGCCACACGTACAGTGGTACCTCGGGTTACATACGCTTTAGGTTACATACGCTTCAGCTTACAGACTCCGCCAACCCAGAAATAGTGCTTCAGGTTAAGAACTTTGCTTCAGGATGAGAACAGAAATTGTGCTCCGGTGGCGCGGCAGCAGCAGGAGGCCCCATTAGCTAAAGTGGTGCTTCAGGTTAAGAACAGTTTCAGGTTAAGTACGGACCTCCAGAACGAATTAAGTACTTAACCCGAGGTACCACTGTATATGCAGTTGCGCTTCAGTAGAATGTGCCTAAGTGGGGGGACGCCTGTATTTACCTAAACAAGCCTAATTTAAGTATTTCTCTGCTGATCCTAATGTTATTTCTGGAGGTGATTTAGGAAGGATAGGGCAGGAGACATGTCCACTTTGACTAGCAGTGGCAGCTCTCCGGGGTCTATGTCAGAGGTTTTCTGTACCACCTGTTACCTAATCCGTATAAGTGGATATGCATACAGATGCAAACTGCGGAGCTATGCGCTGAGAGTGCATTGAATGCACGAAGCCCCAGTTTGATCTCCAGCATTTCTTCGCAGAGATTGGGGAAATTGCTCTGAGATACAGGGTTTAAAACCTGTTAACAACCTAGGACCTCAATTGGCTAATTCTGTACAAGGCTAACTTTGAATGAGCACACCACAAAGTACTTTGTTATTGATTGTCCCATGTCACTTTGGCAATTGTAGGTAGAAAATTCTGCTATTAATTCGCAAAGTACATCTCTTATGAATCAGAATGCACAATTGCTGATTCAGCAGTCTACCTTGGAAAATGAAAATGAGTCCATAATCAAGGAACGTGAGGATCTGAGATCGCTATATGATTCACTCATCAAAGATCATGAAAAACTGGAACAGCTTCATGAACGGCAAGCTACTGAATATGAATCTCTAATTTCCAAACATGGAAACCTTAAGTCAGCACACAAGAATCTTGAGGTGGAACATAAGGACTTAGAAGACAGGTGATTTTGATATATCAGTCATAACCAATTTGCAGCTGAATCTGAAAATTATTTAAAATGTTAGATCTTAAATTCTTATAATCGCAGCCATGTTGAAAGTGGAAGCTGTATTCATAATAACCTTTTAAATTAATACTGAGAATATAATTAGTAATATTATATAATCATTTGACAGATACAATCAATTGCTGAAAACAAAAAGTGCAATTAGAAGAACTGGAAAAAGTTCTCAAAGCAGAACAAGAGAAGATGCTACAGCAAAACAAAAAGCATGAAACAGTAGCAGCGGAATACAAAAAGCTTTGTGAGGAAAATGACAGGTAAGAAAACAAAGCTAATGAATAATTATCTGAATTAAAGTGTATTATTAAGTGTGCCAACTATATTTTGCATTTACCCTGATCTTAACACAATGCATAAAAGTTAGAAACCTTAATAGGTTAGAATAAGAAAAAAACAATAAATCTACAGTATGCTCATAGAAATTGGTTATAAAGATACTGCTACAAAACATTATGATAATGCAAATCTCTCTTTAATTAAATGTGAGTATATGATATAACTGTGCAGACACTTGTTTAATTGTTAATTTTGTGAAAACTTACTTTAATTTGTTTTCTGTCCATTTATAATTACAGATTGAATCATACATATACCCAGCTTTTGAAAGAAAATGAAATTCTCCAAATGGATCATAAGAATTTGAAAACATTACTGAACAGTTCTAAACTGGAACAAACAAGGCTGGAAGCTGAATTTTCCAAACTCAAAGAGCAGTACCAACAGCTGGATATTACGTATACAAAACTGAATAATCAGTGTGAGGTAATGAGTTTGCATTTCTTCAGTAATGTTTTATTATAGCCCTGTTTATTCATGACAAAAGAGGCTTTTTTAGATTTCTGCAGTAATGTGTTTATCTTTATGTGTTTTATGTAATGGTTGTAATAGTTGAATTTAGTAATATATCTTAATAGTTTTGAAGCTGTCTTTGTATCATGTTAGGAACAAACTTACGTCAGTCGTTCTGCTTATTCTGGAATTGTTCTAGTGATTTTATTAAGGAATTAGTGTTCTGAAAAGTTTCTTTAAGACTGCATGTATCCTCTTATATCAACCAACCTAGTCTCTTTGCACTCATTGATATGAACGCAAAAAGTTTGATTCTTACTCCATAATTCCAAATATTGAATTCATGGTTTTCTTTCTGTCTGTTTCATACATAAAGAGAGAATAACATTTTTGCATTTAAACAAAAGCTGAAGATTCAAGGAAGAGGTATGAGATATCCTGAAGAGAGCCAGACTTATTCTGCTCCCTTTCTTATTGGCTTGCACAGTGGATACATTGGTTAGAAGCTAAAAGGATGCTAGGACCTTAACAGAAGCTGCAGATTGCTCTCCTCAATTGGAAGAAAGGCAATTTACAATTATTTACAAAAACCAGATAATAGAATCATAGAATTGTAGAGTTGGAAGGGACCATGAGGGTCATCTACTCCAGCCTCCTGTAATGCAGGAATCTTTTACCTATAGCAGAGCTTGAACCCATGACCCCAGGATTTAAGAGTTTTGTGCTCTGGTGACTGAACTGTTGCTGTCTCTATCATTTGACTTGTCTTCTTGACTTCATTTTCTTTTGTACTTTATAAACAGAAAGTTGGGCAGACTGCATACACTAAAATATTGTGTTTTGTACATTTCAACAGTTGCTTAGCCAGCTAAAAGGAAATTTGGAAGAAGAAAACAGACACCTGTTGGATCAAATACAGACATTAATGCTGCAAAACAGAACGTTATTAGAGCAGAATATGGAAAGCAAAGATCTGTTCCACGTTGAACAAAGGCAGTATATGTGGGTATCAAAAACGGTGAACTAGTTGCACCCAACATAACTGCAGTTGGATGTTCAAATAGAAATAAATCATGGAAATGTTAATCAGTGCATTCCATTAACAACAGATGAAAATACTCATTCGTAGTTGGATTTTAATCAGTATTGTTCCTTGTGAAATAAAGTTTACTGTGGAATGATGTTGAATTATTGTTCCTTAAACTGCTAGAATCAGAAGAGCAGTGGGATTTCTTATGCAAAGTTATAAGCCCCTGTTTCCTCCTTATGTCGGCAGGTGTTTTTTTAAGGAGCAATCCTTCAAGATATTTGTGATGCAGCATGCATTTGCTGAAGGTATAAAAGGGACGGAGGAATGCCCTGTGAAGAAGGATTGTAGGATTTGAGACTGTTTTGAGAAAATGCGAGAAAAATAGACATTTATAAACTCATGCATGGCATGGGGATGGTGGATAGAGAAAAGTTTTCCTAGTCTCTGGCCCTTACAGTACCATCTTCCAGATTGTGCTAGGCCTAATATGGGATGGAGCGTTTCCATCCTTGGTTTGTAATTCTTTCCTAGGCACCTGAGATCACATTTCCCTGTGCTTTATAGCAAGCAAGACAACTGGGAAAGCATCTCAGAGCACCAGACAGACCTACAACTGAAATCTAGGTGACTTAATCCCTGCCTTCCTCCTCCTTTCCTAACCTGTTATTCAACCAAACCAGAAGGAACCTTCACGGCAAACGTCCAGGGTTCCCGTCTAAAATACAGTGGTGCCTCGCAAGACGAAAATAATCCGTTCCGCGAGTCTCTTCGTCTAGCGGTTTTTTCATCTTGCGAAGCAATCCTATTAGCGGATTAGCGGCTTAGCGGCTATTAAAGGCTATTAGCGGCTTAGAAAAAGGGGGGGAAAGCGGAAAAAAATTGCAAGGCTCACAAGACGTTTCCATCTTGCAAAGCAAGCCCATAGGGAAAATCGTCTTGCGAAGCAACTCAAAAACGGAAAACCCTTTCGTCTAGCAGGTTTTTCGTCTTGCGAGGCATTCGTCTTGCGGGGCACCACTGTAAAGGGAATATGACCTTCTGTAATGGAGAGAAGACAGTGGTGTAGCTCAGTGTTAGAATACATACAGAAGGTACCAGGTTCATTTCCTAGTTTTTCCAGGTAGGGCTAGGAGAATCTCCTCTGGATATCCTGGAGAGCTGCTGCCAGTCCTGTGCTACATGGACGTAATGATCTGATGTTGTATAAGGCAGCTTCCTGTGTTCCTGTGAGTGACATGAAACATCCTGTCATGTGCCCAGCACTTTATTCTAACACCTTCTCTCATTCTACATAGTGCCCATATTTTCCTAAAAATAAAATATTGTGACTTGAGTTCTGGCAAAATGTTAATGTAAACTGCCCTGATGCAATGCAAACTGCATTTAAACACACATGTCCTAAAAAGTCCCTGAGGCACATTGATACAAAGGAAAAACATCTTTTAGAAACATACATGCCTTCTAACATGTCAATTACCTTTTCTTCACAGTGACAAGCTAAATGAATTGAGAAGACAAAAAGAGAAATTGGAAGAAAAGATTATGGATCAGTATAAATTTTATGAACCATCTCCTCCGAGAAGGTAATGCATGACCACATATTTCTCTCCCTCTTACTTTGCCAGAAATGTGCCAGTGTTTGTTACTTAAAGAGAGAAACTTCATTGTTTTGAAATATTTGCAAGAATTTGTTCTAAATATAGCATTCCTCTTCATTTCTCCAAAAGGAGAGGTAATTGGATTACTCTGAAAATGAGGAAACTGATAAAATCAAAGAAGGATATTAACCGAGAACGCCTCAAGTCTCTAACTCTGACACCAACCCGCTCAGAATCTAGTGAAGGATTTCTTCAGCTGCCACATCAGGACAGTCAAGATAGTTCCTCGGTGGGCTCAAATTCCCTGGAAGATGGTCAGACCGTGGGGGCTAAGAAAAGCAGCAGTGAGTAAATTGCTTAATTTTTGTAAGGGGTAGTGTGTCATGCAGTACTTCCTGATGCGGTGAAAAGGTTCAAAATGCCCATGGAGGAAGTTTGCTTAAAAGTATTTTGCTCATGTTCCTGTAGGCTCAAGAATGGAGAATCAAGCTCTACAGCAGAGGAACGCTCTTTAAAGTGTTTTAGGGGTGCAATATTTACTGACAGTGAAAAAATTGGTCTGAGCTGACCGTAGAGGTGAAATTGGCACCCCTTCTTTACCCATTGCTCTTTTCTGTACTGTTTCTTTTCATCCACTTACTACATTTCTACTCCTGGCGTGTGAAGAGTTCCCTGTAACATGCTTCCTTATCAGCATCATCATACTGCTGATGAATTGATTGTGTGTTTCTGCATGTTTATGGGCATACTGCATGGAAGGGGGACTGTGCTGTATTGATCTGCCTTGCAAAGCTTCAGTGTCATGCATAGCTCTGGTCAGCAGGTTCATGAGAGTACCTGCATCCATTATATATACTCTAGAAGCAAGAGGTCCAGCTCTGTAATAGCTCTTCTCCCACTCCTTTTAACCCATACCTTTTCATCACATTCTGCTATCAATTCACTGGTATGCCAGGCTGTGCTGACACAGGGTGTGTGACACTTTATCGTTAACAGCATTTCATTGTACCAACGTTGCTTTGGAATAGAATTTTGAACCTTAAGTAATCATATTATTGTTTTTGAGTGCCATATCAAAGCAAATATTTACGGTGGAATTCAACATGGAATTCAGTGTAGCATTAAGTGAGACATTTATGTCCGTTTGTACTAGAAGCACTGCATGCCCCCTAAACCTATTCTGGGGGATCTTGAAAATAAGATCTGTTAGAACAATATGACCGAGTAGCAGACACAGTGTTGTTGTTTTTTAATGAATGTCTTTGATGTTTTTACATGGTATCAAAATGTGCACATGTAAACATTCCTCCATTTGATCAGGCTGGAAAAGAATCAAACCCCACATGATGCGTGCTTTGATTATATAGATTTCTGTACAAACATTAGAAATTACGTTCTGCTTCATAGTATGTTTAAATCTTTAGTTGAGTAATTGTTTTTGCAGTTTTGATTCATTACTGATCTACTAATGATTGAAGATTACATTTGCTGTGCGACCTGAAAGAGGAGAGAAACTAATTCTGTGGAAGAGAAGACTTTGACCATCCTTTGTACTAGCCTAGCGTTTTACATCTTAATTTAGGTCCCATATTAGTTGAGTAGTTGCCTGTCATGTTATCTGGTCCGCAATTGCTGTCCTCCTAACTACAAAGATTTTTACTTTCACAATCTAGAAGATTGTTTGCTCTTAGTGATCTAGAGTAATCAGCATGTGTTGTTCAATTGCTGCACAGATAATTTCCATTCTGATGGGATACTTTTAAACATTGCAGCAAATGTCAGGTATATTTGGAGGAGAAAGTGTGGCGATTCCCCCCCCCCCCCGCCCACCATTAGCATTATCAGGTAGGAAGGCTAGTTAGGTCTGAAGAATTGCTAAGTATTGAAGAATTGCTAAATAGTCTTTAAAAGTATTCCTTAAATTATTCCTTTCAAAAGGTTTATGATCGGCAGGGAATCTTTTTTCTGTCATGAGATAAATCCCCTTGGGAAATCCACTGGGAGCTGCATTTCTTTTCCCCAGATCATCTTCAGTTAATCAATTTATTCCTCCAAATTTGTATCCTGATGCTCAGTAAATGTGCAGTCGTTATGAAAAAAATTCATTGCTCAACCTCCCTCTCGCACTGGGATCAGTTATGTTCCAGAGACAAAGTAGATTTTTCTATTTAAGACCATGGACCCACATGAATTTGGATGCTATTATATAACTGACTTGTGGGTTGCAGTTTATGTGTGTGTTCAGTATATTTTCACTGGTAATTATTAGGTAGCTACTGAACTAGAAAATAGGTCCAAAATTATTTGCATTTTACTTTATGATGTGTTACTTGTATCTGATCAGCACATAACTTACTTGCATTTCCTCACGCAGAGAAACCTATCTGATCATTTGTATTTGTGGACCATTTCTTCAGCATCAGTTTCCGTAGAATTTTGTTATGAATAAGAAATATATCATTTGCATAATTTGTGAAAATGTAGCTAATACATTTACATCCAGTGGTTTGGGTGCCAGCGACATATTTGCTGCAAGATCATGCCTTTACCTTGAGTTAGACCCTTTTCTCTTTATAAGATATTGTGAAAGCACTCCTGCCAAGGGGAATCAGAGCTGTCCACTCATGATGGCTATCAGCAGTAGCTAATCTGTGTGTGGGAGTTACTTCCGTGATGAAGGGACAGGGAAGAGAACAACCTGGATATCAAAACTGAAGGAGTATTCAATAGATAAGAATTTATTTTGACTTGCCCAATATATATTTTTCTATGTGCTTTTTGCAGTCCTTCTCTTCCCACAATTCTCTTGCAACTTTTTTCAGACAACTCAGATAACCTTTTTTAATCAAAATATGTATACAAATTTTAAATTCTTCTATTCCACCTCCACAGGGCGCACCATTTCAGTATGTTGCAGCAAAACCAACAGAGTGTTGTGGCACCTTTTAAAGACTCAGAGATTCATGCCACAATAAATATTTTATTCTTTATGGTGCCACAAGTCTCTGTTTCCGTTTCATTACTTTTTAGACAAAATGAAAAGGTGAGGTTTTTATCCAAAATTGTGGAGAAAGATTTGAATGTGACAAAAGTTAACCTTCCATAGTAACACACTTTGATTTGATATTTTACTCTTGTAAATGATACTTTACTACACATTTCAGGGGAAGCATGGAATATCCATCACATGTTTGTTTCCCTTTATACTGCTGATCCCTGCTGGGCTGATACTTAACTCCTCAGCCAGCCAGTTGCTTCTAGGACATCTTTGAATGCTTCTATTATCACCCCTCCTAGCCAGTTATCAAGAGTGGGATAGATTTGGCTGAAGAGGAACCACCTCAGAGGCGTTTGCAGGGGGTGGGATTGGCATTCACTGGAAGGCTTAACCGTATGCACATAGATTATCATATTATACAATGCATTCATGCTATCCCTGCAAAGAAGGGTTTTGGAATACATGTTTACTGAGAACATGTATTTCCACCCGTAGTTGCTACACAAGGTGTCAACTGGTTTAGCAGAGAAGAAAGCCTGTGTGGCATGCCTTCTATGACACTGCACTAAGCACGCTGTGGCAATGCTCCTTCACATGTGCACAGCACACAGATGAGGAAACAGGTCATGTGTAAGTGAAAATCTGTGTCTTCTCATTCAGCTTGTTTTAGTGCAAGTAAACACCATTGATCACAGTGGAACTTATTCATGAATGAGCATACATAGATAATACAGGATGACTCCTTGACTGAGATGAAGGGCTTGTATGTACACTCATGGCTTACATCTTTTGCACTGGATTAGTAATAATGCCACATTGAAATGCAAATGTTTGCTTTATTACAAGGTCTTCTTGTATAGTGTTTCAACCCTGCCACAAGCAAACATGTGAAAGCTTTCTGTAACATGCAATTTAAAATTCTCACTGCAGTTATTACATGTTTGATTTTTAATGTTCCCGCACTGTCACTGTTCTGTTTGTTTCTTTGTTCTGTCATTTTTCTGTTTGGTGCCTTCCCCCACCTCACACCCCAGTAGCAGTATGGTACGTCATTTAACCAAGAATTCTTATTTAAAGTGGTAATCAGTCAGAATATTACAGTATTCTGCACTCCATTCCAATAATTTCTTGATCATATGTTCAGATGGTGTGTAAAAGGAGGTAAAGGTTAGATACTGCTGTTCTTGGAAGTTAAATCAACTAAGATGAGTTCACATTAATACAATTTAAAACAAGTCATTAATGTGAAAAATACAATGACTGCTTGGTAGCAAGAAATGATACTTTGATTGAAAGTATACTTTGATAAACCAAGTGAACTTTTTTTTCCAGTATACCTCTCCATCTCGGGAAACCTGCTTGATGGTTTTTGACTCCTTGCCCATAATTTTTGTGCCTCAGTTTGGGTTTGGCTTCTTTTTATATCTTTTTTTTTTTTTGCTTGGTTTTAAAGACATCCAATAGTTGTGAACTGTGAAAGTTCCTTATATTCCTCAGGCATGGTTTCCCGTGTTTCCTTGGATAGTTCCACAGTGCAGCCTTCATATCCATTGCCATTCAGCAACATGAGATTAATAGCTTTTAGTAAATAAAGTGCACCTAGCGGAAACTCAAGCATTCATTTCTGTCCTTAGTTTCAACATTTAACTTCCATCTGTTCTTCTCCCCTTTTTCTTTCATCTTCCCGTTTCCGTTTTTCCTTATGCTATGACATAAAAGTGGTTGCACTGAAAAGACTGCCCTTTTTGAGGAACAGACCGAAGGAAAAAGACAAAATGAAGGCCTTCTACCGTCGCTCCATGTGTAAGACTTTATGACAGTTCAGCTTCTTTTTAAATGGCTACACTGGCTTCTATTACTACTTTCACTAACCTTTCCGTGGACTGCGCTGTTTTTCCTATTTTGCAAAGTGCAAGTCCTGCTATAATACAAGGAGCTGAAGCAATGTTTCTAAACACCTTGGCACTCAATATACATAACTCTTGGGGTGTATAAAAATGTATATGTAATCATATGCATACATCTATCTACACACACAATGAACACACATTTATAGGTTCACATTCTGGGAATTTTATGAACTTATATGTGTGTACATATAAAGATATAGTGCACTCAATGCATTTGCACATTTTGAACTCCACTCCTAGTAATCAGTTTTATAAACACCTCAGTACAAATCTAGAAAATCATTTGCTTAAAAACAAAAAATAAATGGTGACCTGTTATTCCTTATACAGTAAATGTTTTATCATTCTAAGCTGAAGGAGTGGGGTGGGGAAATCAGGTATTCTTTGTCATTTCTTCAGTGAAATGCTCTTTAAAAAGTTGGGAGAGGACACATTTATTTTAAATACTTTCCTCTATTGTCATGCAATAAATATTATTCCTGCAAAACCTGCACTGAAGGACCCCTTATCATTGCCAACACTGACTTTGTATTAGCACTTCTGCTCATCTTTCCCTGTTCATTCCATTTTTCATTGCGAAACATATCAGAGCTTCTAACATATATTTATTTATTGTATAGCACTCCAGCACAAGCATGGCGGTTGTAGCTAATAAAAAGCAATAAAATCATCTGTACAAGGAGGCTTTGGCTTTTTAACACTTTTCATTCATTCAGCCAATTGCATGTTTTAACATGTAGAAACTTGTGGACTGTAGCTTTCAGTATGCCTTGATGCTTAGGTAAATGAAGCATTTTACAGTACAAAATAAAACTTTTCAAAAACATTGAACCATGCTGATTCATTTGCTTTCATTTGCATCCCAGCCATGAATGACCTGGTGCAGTCCATGGTCCTAGCAGGAGGACAATGGACAGGTAGTTCTGAGCATCTGGAGGGTCCTGATGATATATCTACGGGTAAAAGGAGAAAAGAATTGGGATCTATGGCCTTCTCTACTACATCCATCAACTTTGCAACTGTCAACTCTGCTGCAGGCTTGAGATCCAAGCAGTTGCTTAATAATAAAGGTATAGGTAGAACCTTTTCACGCTGTGGTGTAGTTGTGTTGGTAACCGTAGCGTTATTGGAAACTGTTTGTGCTCCATATTTCACATTCTTTTCCAGCAAATTAACTGGAATATTTGATTTGCAGACTTGTGGAATATTAGGATGGGGAAACTAGTTGTATTTGTAAACTTTTGTGGGGATCAATGAGCCATAAAAATTTCTTGTGTTTTAGAGATGATAAATTCAAAGGTCTGTTTTTGCAACAAAATTGTGCTTGTTTCCCCTTTAGATGCTACATCTTTTGAAGATGTAAGTCCACAAGGAATTAGTGATGATTCTAGTACAGGATCAAGAATTCATGGTAAGATTTGCGCTTTAAAGGAGTAGCAGACCTATTACGGAAATGCTAGTAAAGTTTATCCAGAAATAGAAAATGACCTGCGTTGCAAGTGTGCATGTTTGTATTCTTTCCTTACATCTCATCTCATCTAATTGTATGGGAACTTTTCCATTTCTTTCACTCTGATTTCACTCTTAAACAGAACAAACCTATTCAGTATGAAGTGCACCTGAACAGGACCCAAATTTCTCTCCTCTCCATCAGTCCTGGGTATTCTAGAGTTCAATTGTGAGAACTTTCAGCTTACGAAATCTTCTGTTCAAAATTCATCTTATTAATAAATGTATTTTTCCTCTATCAAATTTTGGCATAGTTGTAAAATACTTCTGTTAAATTTGAATCACATTAGTGCAGTTTCTAAAACCCTTTAACACTGCTTCTGCGCCTGCTTTGGTTAGGAGTAAAGAACATTCCTGCGCAGATGTTCTTTCTCTTCCTGTCGGTGACATTTCTGTAACGTGCAGAGTTCCATGTCAAAATCTTTTGTAAGTGCCTTAACCGCAACCTGATTTCTGCATGTTGGTGCCATTTCTCTTTAAAACCTTGGTTATTCTCATCAATAAACCTGATACAATTCAAAACATGTATTTTGTTTCTCTGTTCCTTCTTTTGCTAACCTGCTCGCTTGTCTAGTGTACTTTCTTAAAGTGCTGTCTTGGGCTGCCTGGGGACACCACCTTTTCCCACCTGCCAGAATCCACACTTTGAGACATGTTCAGCTTGTGCGATATCAGTAGTGCATGATTTCCTGCCTCAGAGCATTCTGTGATCAGAATGTAGTAGGCGCAGTGTCATCTGCTATGGTATGTGCTTCATGCGATCTACTGGTTTTTTTCCATTTAGCTTCCAGACCAGCCAGCCTTGATAGTGGCAGAACATCCACTAGCAATAGCAATAATAATGCCTCACTCCATGAAGTCAAAGGTATGCTTCCAGGCAAATTGACACATCTGCTTCATTCCTCACATTTCCAGGGCAGGGAGGGAGAGAATTCAGGGCATGTTTTCCTTTCCTTTCATCATTTCATTCCTTTTTAGATGAAGCTCTGGAATAAGGTGGGTCATATGTCTGATTTAGGAAAAGTAAATTAATGCAGGACATTGCAGATATTCATCCATCCATATAGTGTAGTAGTGTATTCGGATACATTACAATGCCTTGCAGCTCACATAAAACAAAAAAGGAATAATGCTTTCAAATTCTTCTTTAACCTGCAAACAAATGTCATATTAGACAGAAAACCAACATTTAATAATAATAATAATAAATTTTATTTATATCCCGCCCTCCCCAGCCGAAGCTGGGCTCAGGGCGGCTAACAACAATCAAAATAGTCCGACATTCTAAAAACATTCATTATAAAATTAATTAAATCAAATTAAAATCAAATTAATGGCAACCATCAAGCAAAATTCTGTGCAGATTGCCGATTGCCAGAGGAGGAGGTCAGGCTAATTTCTAATATAACAGCAAATTACATTCTGGGCAGAAGACACATAGGCCATTTTTACTAACCATGTTGTAGTAAACTCATTGCCAGGCAAATGTCTTGGAATAAGACCTCTAGAATCAGATGTGAATCGGCATTATTCTTTGGTTTTCTTCAGATTAAAGTGCCACTGCCTACAAATAAAGAATAAATACATGGATAGTTCTAGAGAGGAATTCATGCTGTTGTGTTGCAAATGAGTAGAACCAAAGGGACAAGTGATACACTCAGCTTTTTCTGGTCCTCTGCTTTGAGACACACCTGACAGGATGGTCTGTTTCCTCTTCTGTTGTAAAACATGTGTATGCAAGGCAAAACTGGAAGATTTCTAGCAGTCACTGCCTTATAAGGAATTATTTAAACTTCATTTAATTCATTTCACTGTATTTCTAGATAGTATCTGCTCAATGGAAAATATGGATAGGTCTTCTAAAATGTTTGTGATTTTCCAGTATAAACAATTCCTTGCAGTAAAGCATGATGTAGTTCAGTAGCATTGATAGTGTATGCTGCTTGTTTTTCTTCAAAATAATAATAATTCAAAATAACACAAAGGGCAGCTTTCAGTTGGTTGATTTGTATCTGTTTAAGGAAACAATGTGAACTGGCATTTCTTCAACCTTTATTCTGTGCAAAATGGGATGTTTCTGCTCCAAGTCATGACAAACCGATACAGCCATTTGACGGAATGCATTTTTAAGAAACCTTTCTTAAAGGGTATTTCTTGATCAGTCTGAAAATAAATTATTTGCATTCCATCTTTTATATCTTTACCTTTTGCCATATGTCATAAATAGTAGCGGATGTCAACTTTGTTGCTGAACTGGGTCATATTTAATGTCTGGGATTTCATTTTGTTGAGAAAGATTAAACATTCAAAGTTATTAGGTGGTGGAGGTGTTTAATTGGAAAGATGCCATGTCACATTGAAGAACCTTAATAAGTAAGGCAAGGGAACTAACCTTTATTTCTCGTATGGCTTCCCCATAGGTTTTTTAGTACCTTATGATAAATGTCTCTTCAATGTGACAAAGGAAAAACATCCAATAATGCATTGTTAATGTTTAAATACAATGTAGCGTGCATAATAAAGATGACAATACTGTTTATCCCTAAAGCAGGCACAGTTACTAACCAAAGCAGGCCACAAAGCCACAGCAGTGGAGAATTTAGCCTGCTTCATGAGCATGACGCATGGTCCAGCAGCAGCAGCAGTCCCATCCAGTATTTGAAAAGCCATGCCAGGTCTAGCCCCATGCTCCATCCTAAAATGTCAGAAACAATGGATAGACAAGGAACGCACAGAATTAAAACGGACTCCCCTGGGAGTGAAGTGGTTACTCTGCAGCAGTTCTTGGAAGAAAGTAATAAAGGGACTTCGGCTGAGGTACGTTGAAAAGCTACTTAATTTCACTTGGCAAAACATAAAGCTGCAAAACTTAGTGCACTTTTTAGGTTGCACAAGAAAATCTGGTGGTGACTTTACATTTGTAAAGGCCAGAATTCAGAATTAAGTTGGTTAGGAAAATTAATTGACACCTAGGGTAGGAATTTAAGTAACATTATGAGACAAGGAAAGAAAAAAATGAACCTATTCTGAGAAAAGAGCAAATCTCCTGTAGAGCAAAGTCTTTCAGGAGTGAATGAGCTAACTTATGAATATAATTTTTTTTAGACAGAGTGTGGGTGCTCGTTCTCTGAACACAAAACTATAAGGTGTGAGTCAATATTGTTGTTTAGTCGTGTCTGACTCTTTGTGACCCCAATCAGTCTGACTCTTTGTGACCCCAATAGTGAGTCAATAGTACTATACAAAATTGTTGTCAGGTCTGCTGCAGTATGTGATCCAAAGAGCAACGGGATGGATATTTGCAAGCTCTAAAGAATTTTTCCAACACCCTTGTCAGGTTACATTTATCTTCAGACAGTACCATAGCCAAAACAACTCAAAAGTTACACTTTTAATCTCGACTTTTCTGCATTGCTTATGAAATGCTTTGGACTGTGTCTTAACCACGTGCTTTGCACTGAAGAGATAAAGACTAATTGAAGAGCTATCTGACCATAGCATTTTCACCCACCCACCCCAAAATCTCCAGTGTGTATTTCCCATCATGATTGAACTGTGTCTTCCAGTACATTCTATTTCTGTGTCAAGGAAACAAGTGGCTGTATGCTGATGCCAAGTTCTAAAGCATTAAAATAACCTTGGAATAAATAACCTTGGAATAAAATAATGTACTTAATTTAAATAATAATGTGATTTTGGTGTTTATTTTTTAAATTGGATAATTTAATTCTTGTCTGTCTGGTCTCACATAAAATAGCTTTTTCAAAGATAGATAATATGGGTATACAACTAATTTATTGTCTTTTCCACTGTTTTGAAACAGACGCACTCATTTTCTCAGCTATTTATTAATAACAGTATAAACTTTTGGCCTGGCGACTGTTCAAATGCCACGGTCCCTCTGAAATAAGGTGCATTTGTCTTTAGGTGATTGGTTCTTAAATGAGCCTTAGAAAGGAAAGGCGGTCTTGTTCTTTTCTTATATCTTGGATCTTTTCCAAGGACTCCCAACTGGGAGTTCCAAATCCGGAAGTCCACACAATGATTTCAGGCTTAGGCACTCCTGTACATGATGTTCAGATTGCTAAGGAAGTTTTTTAATCAGTCAGTGAGAAAGTTATGGGATAGATCTGAAAGTGAAATGATCATCATTGGTTGAGCCTTTTGATGTTGGAGGAGAAGTGATATTTGCGTAAATGTTAAAATAAATGGAAATATTCACAGAAATCAAAATGTCAAGGTAGGAATGTTTATTTTCAATTTAAAATTGAAAAAAGAAATTGTGGCTTTCCCATTATTAAGTAAACTTAGTCTAGTAGCATATTGATAAAACTACTAAACCTGGGTGATACCATATGTATCAATGATTTCCATTATTTTGAACTGCATCATGGTTATGCATGTTTGTGCTGTCAAAGTATGAAACACTCTCTTGCAGAAACATTAAGAAACAAAGTAGCAGATAATGAATTCACTTATTTGGATATCTTTTGCAGCTCAAGTCCTCAAGCCAAGATAATCTTTTGGATGAAGTGATGAAATTTTTTTCTGAAAATGCTGAATTAGTCGGAAGAGATAAATTAAGAAAGCAGTCATCAGGCAGCGGTGGTATTGCCAGATCACAGAGTGTGAAAAACACAATGGAGTTCTCTGATGGAAAGTCAGCTAAACAAGGACACCTTACAAGGCCCAGCTTGCGTAGAATGGAAGATGCCAACTTTGCAAACTCTTCAAAAACACTTACAGCAGGCACTAAAGGAAGGGCCAGGTCTGTTAAAGAAAGTGTACAATCACAACGACAATCAAAAGATTGTAATCCTTATGTGACTTTACCTCGTGCAAGCAGTGTGATTTCGACTGCAGAAGGAACTACTCGGAGGACAAGCATCCATGATTTTTTGTCTAAGGACACTAGGCAGCCAGTATCAATTGATCCAACTCCACCTACAGGTGACAGAAGCGTCCCATCAGCTTCTAGTGAGTACAACCCCCAGCAACACTCCTCTGTTTTTCATTATCCCCCTTTTCCTTCAGTTACCTCGTCAGAAAATGACTTGGGTAGGATAGCCACGCTAGATAGTTCTACATGTAAATCAGAAAAGGCTAGGAGTTCAAGAACAGGCAAGACAAATTTTATTACTGAAACATTTTCTTGTAGTAATGTGTACGATGAGAAAATGGGCACATCAACAAGCATTATAGGTAAGTTGTCTGCAGTCCGTTTGTCCAGGCCATTTTTGGCACTCAACACCGAATTAGTCAGCAATGTTAGTGGACTGCCCCAAATGCCTGTATCAAAGACAACTGATAAGACATTTGATTCATCTGTGAAATCTCCACAGAATGATCACAAACTACCTTCTGAGAATCAGAAATCATCTGATGGCAGAAATGTAGAGATGAATCAGAATAGCGGTGAATCTACACCACTTACCCATTCAAATGCTAGTGATAGTAAAATACCATCACCCGTTTCTGAAGATACTCAGACTGTTTGGTATGAATATGGTTGTGTATGATAAACATATATAATATTAAGTAAATCTCTGCTACACATTGTGGATGTTCTTGTTAATGTTAATAGATTTAGACTATATTTAAATTTACTAGCCATGATAGTAACTAGGTGTACATAGTTTTTCTCGAAATGGAGATGGAGAATTCACCTTTACCCCCTTAGCATGTGAATGAATGTACAATTGTAACCATGCCAAAGCTTGCATGAAACATTAACTGCACTGTATAATTTCTGCATGCCTTTTAAAAGCCTTAATAATAAAAGCTAACTGTATTTTATTTTCTATTTGTTATAAATATTTTATTTTCTATACATTACTGGATGCATGCTAACCAGTTGCATGGTGCTGTGCCAGGAACAGCACAAAAAAACAGGTAACTTTCAGCAACAGTACATTCAGTTTTTCTTCCTTTCAGAGTCCACATTATCATGTAGATTATACATTTTGGACTCAATTCGACTAAAGCTAGTTGTGACTGATGTAAAATTAATGGAACCAACTCGGTTGTAACTGACTCAAGTCTCATTGCCTAGTGGCTTACAGATCAGTTATATTCATGTTTACTTGGAAGTAAGCCCCACTTTTGACTTACTTCCTAGTAGGTGTGTTTGGAATTACATCTTAGCTTTGACAAGCTTTAGCTGGATTGGGGCCTTTTTGTATCAGTGTCCTTTCCCTGTTTTGCTGGTGAAAAAATGCAGGAGGCCCCTCTGCACCTCTAGCTTTTTACTTTGGACATATACAAATTCTACTTAATAAATGAGCCATTCTCGAAATAGTGACTATAGTTTGCACACTGAATGTGTACCGTTCATGCTGATAAAACATCAAGGTTTGGAAGCCTAAACAGTGGGCCTTTTCTGTTTAATGATACATAACTAAATGTAGTTTCGTTGGAAAAGTTGACCCTCTTCATCTTTCCCTTTTATGTGCTTTTCCCGTCCCATGCTTGATGTATTTACATGGTCATGGTGTTGTCTCGTCGATAGAGCTTTATCTGAATCTTTATTATATAGCTTTTAATGGATTTTTACAGTGTATTAAAATAAAAAATAAACTGGTATTATGGTATTCTTATTTTCTGTTCAGGGATGTGATAGTGAATTAGAAAATGATGCACAAAATGTTTTTTTTAAATTGGCCTGATGGTCCAAAATGCTGCTTTAGACATGTCCAAGGTCTTGGGTTGACAGCTTTCTTTGAGAAAGTAGAATTCCATGCCATAGAAAAAGTTGGGTTTAAAGAACCCTGATTTTATTTTATTTTTCCTTTTTTGCCCTTCCCCAAGATGCTTCATTTTCTAAAATAGTAAGCAATACAGCCTGTGGGTCAGGGAGCTTCTGGGTTCTCCAGGTAGGGTGGGGAAGAACTCCCATGTGAAATCCTGGAGAGCTGCAGCTAATCACTATAGGCAGCAATGAGCTAGATGGATCATTGGGCTGGCTTTGCGCAAGACAACTTCCTATATTGATTAACTGTTCAAGAAATACAAGCTTAAAGACATTTTGGACTGCAGAACTGCTTGAGAGTCTTGTGACCAGAACAAGGTGCATCTAAACCAATTTTCATAGTTGCAATAAACCCTAATGGAACTTGAGCTTGTTTGAAAGCCAAGAGTTATTGTGGGTTAAATTCCAAAATTGTTCAGTGAATAAGAATCCACAGGTCCTTCAGGTAAAAGCATAGGCTACTTTCAGCATGCTTTAAGCTTGGGCACAACTATTTGGAATTTCTTCTTCTTTGAACAGCAGGAACACACACCCCCATGCCACATCACACAATCCATCTCTGAGAATTCCCTCACCTTCAGTAGTGATTTGCCATGTGGTGTGGTGGACCGTTGTTCATGAAAATAAGCACGAAGCCCCTTTGCACACAAAAAAAATAGTTTTATGGTTCTTTGGATCTTCAATATCCATCTGTTTGTTTTTAGGAAAGTAGAAGTTATTATAATAAGTGAGATGTGTTTAAAACTTGCATTAGGAAAAATAAGTTTCTGGGGAAATGAAAAATGCCTTTCCTAATTTTGATTGGCATCCTATTTAGAGACTGAAGATTGCTACTTTACTCCCAGGAGCAGCAAAATCAGAATGCTACAGGAAGAACTCACTTAGCTCTCAGCTATCTGGCCACCCCCAGGGACCAAAAGACTTGCGCTTTTTTTGTCCCCATCTTAAAAAGACAAGAGGAGCAAATAACTAAATTACACCTTTAAACTGAAGTATTTTATGCAAGCTACTTTAATTCCATTTTGTCTTAATTATTTACATTTGTGATACATGAAGAATTCAGTGATGTTTGAGGAAGAGTCAGGGAAAAAGTCCTTCAGAGATATAACTTTTCTAAAAAATCTTGTCACAACTGACAAAATGTCCTGTAAATGCTGGCTGATAACATCTTGCTGCTTCTTTTGTGCTCTCTGTGCAGTCCCACATATAGGGTCTGTGCCAGTAAGTGCGAATTCACTACCAGTTAGGGCTAGCCGATAAATGTTTTGGTCAGAAACCAGCCCATTGCCCTGACGGTGTAGAATTCAAGGGGCTTGGCCCCTCTCCGCTCAGTACCTTCCTGACTGCTCCAGCACTGGTATCTGTGAGAATTTGTTTTGCTTTTCCACCCTGAGGAAAATATGAACTAAACCTGCCTTCTGTTTTTTCTTTAATTCTATATTCAGCTCTTTTCTTCAGTGCTGTTCTTTCTGTCTTCAATTTTGCATTTGATGTGGTTTTGTTTATATGCCTCTATGGGTGCTTTCACTGCTTCCAAGCAGATGCTTATAGTGCAGAGGGCAACTTTTCTGATTTTTTGGGGTAGCAGTAGGTCATCCCCAACCCTTTAGTGTTGGGCAAAACCTCTGCCATGGCAAGGTTCCCTTGGTAGTACTCCACCAGGCAGGTGTGTCAAAATCACTCGTCCCAGCTCTGAGTAACATTGTGAGGACAGGCTATTTTGGCAACACAACCTGATGTCTTAAGTCCCAAAACCCACACAGACAATACGACACTGTTCTGTCCATAGTGTTACTGATGGTCAAGTCTGATCTTGCAGGCCAGGAAGCAGAGACTGGCATTGTGCTTTCTCACCTAACTTAACTGTGACATCATTCTCCTTTTATAAGTGGACCTACTTTGTTTGATGGGACTTACTTCCTAGTAGGTGTGTTTGGAATTGAATGAGTGACAAAGGAATTATATAGTTGATTCTGTACACGGGCCTTTCAGTGCACTTTTTTAAAAAAATCGCATGAATTGACCGTAAGTCAGAGAATTAAATGCAGGTCCAGCATCCCAAGAGAAGCATGAGACACTTGATTAATTGTTCTGTGAATTGGGACATTTGTTTTGCTTGCAAGGAAAGGCTTGCTTACTTGAAGACTTACTTTTCTAAGCAAATAGCTAATTTCAGATAATTTGATTTTGCATGTTCCATTTTATTGCATGCAAGGATAATTTGCTGCTTTGCAGACTTTATTGGTAGGATGCATAAATCAAATGCACATGTTTTGCTGCACAGTTCCATAAATGTTCTTGTTATTGCAGTCTGTTAGACAGAATACAGTTGTAGAGCCTCCAGTTGTGTTCCTACCTTCCCTTTTTGTTCCTCTCCATTTTTGTGAACTTTTGGTCAGTAGTACCTAACAGTATATGTTGCAACATCAGGTGATTTCCTCCCCTGCTGAACAAGTAACACAAAATGCTTTTCTTCTGCAGATGTGGAAGCTAAACCAGAAAACAGAAATTCAAAAAGCAGGTCTAGGGAGCAACAAAGCTCCTAATTCTATTACCCCCACTACATGAGATGTGGGCCAAGTGGTGAGTTTTCTGCCCAACATGTAAATGAGATTGCTTTCATTTACAGAGGAGTAAAAAACTAACATTTATAAATGAAAACAAGTGCAATTTGCATTAACAGTTGTCAGTACCGCTTGCATTAAATGGCTCTTGCTTACTGTATTCAAGCTAAGCCAGCATGTGACACTTACTTATCTACCCAGGCAAGGAGTGTCCAGTCTTCTAAATCCACCTTGCTTTTCTCATATATGTCTCCAATAATAAATCACAGTGTATAGTAGCAAGTCACTATCCAAAAAAAATGACATTGCGTTGTTCATTTGGGGACTCCTGTGCAATCCTGTGCCACTGTAACCTTTATGTTAACTGCCTCTAAAGAGCCAGCTGTATTATACTGCATATAAGTTGGTCATTTTCTCAAGCATATACATTTTGAGGCTACAGTAATACCCATTTTAGAATGTGATATATGATCAGAGCCATGCAGACTCTATAGATAAACAGATTTTTTTAAAAAAAATTACACCCAGAAACAGTTTAGGTTTTGTGGTTCTGGATTCTGCGAATTAAATAAATTAAGCGCAGTGCTTCTGATTTTATTTAACTGTCATTTTTACTATTTTGCATGATTTATTTCAGTTATGTTGAGGGCACAGAAGTATCCCTGGCCCTTTGTGTACATTGGGAATGCTGTTCAGCCCCCACCCCTCCAGCTCCTGAAAAACTTGTTTTCAAGCATATCTTTGCAGTCCTAAGGACTTGAAACCCTATCTTTAAAAAACAACCATGAATTACCGTATTTTTCACTCTATAAGACGCACCAGACCATAAGACGCACCTAGTTTTTGGAGGAGGAAAACAAGAAAAAAAACATTCTGAATCTCAGAAGCCAGAACAACAAGAAGGGATCACTGCACAGCGAAAGCAGCGATCCCTCTTGCTGTTCTGGCTTCTGGGATAGCTGCGCAGCCTGCATTAGCTCCACAAGACGCACACACATTTCCCCTTACTTTTTAGGAGGGAAAAAGTGAGGCTTATAGAGCAAAAAATATTGTATTATGAAACTTGAGTTCTACCCCAAATAGCACCATTTGTGCTTTCTTCTCTGTCAATCACTGAGACTTCCAGCATATACACAGCTCTGAATAGTAAGCATGTAAAAGCATAGCTACAGGAATTGAAAGGCTGCAATCCTATACACATTTACATGGGAGTAAGTCCTATTGAAAATAATGGGACTTGTTTCTGGGTAATCATGCATAGGCTTGCAGTTACAACAGTGGTGCCCAGATGCCATTATATAGTATTTTACTCTTGGCATTCTGTCTCCCTTCTTCTTTATCATTGCTTAAACCATTTCTATTGTGTCCTCCTAGTTCTTGTAGTCACTTTACTTTTTTTAATCTCTTCTGTATCTTTTTAAGCTTTTCTTACGTTTACTTCTCTTTCTACTTTTCACTTGAACACAGAGAGAAAAGTGTCCTTCAGTATCTCAGTGTGAAGCCTTTATTACTGAAGTAACAAGGCATCCGGCTATAGGAATCATGTTGTGTTTTCAAAAATAGTTGAAGGTTTTTACAGGCCTACATGAATAGAACAATCAAGAAATATGCATCTTCTTTCCTTGAATCAAGGAGCTGTGCTGGTGTCTCCTGCTGAATTTTTTAAAGAAGGAATTTATTGCACATTGCACTGTTAAGATCTACTGAATAAAGGACAGCTTTAACCTCTCTAACGACCAAGGGTTGTATGGCCTCAAGATTTGCTCCAGGAACTCAATTGCTTTTTTTTTTCTTCATTCCTTTATGAACCCCAGTCATCAACTGCTTATTGCTTCTGCTAATAATTAGCAATATTTAGTTCTGTAAATCTGAAAGGGGAGACGGCTGTAGTATATTGTGGAATTTGTTGTAAATACAGGTACAAAAATGAACCCCTCAAGCTTATTTTATTGGTTTGCTTAATTTGCATGATGTTGCTCTTTGTAAAATGAGACTGCTGGTTATTTTGGTGCAAATAGCAAGAAAAAATTGTTTAGGTACCTGAAAACTTAGCTAAACACTTTAATCCACACTCGACATGATTTTATTTGTTCCATGAGTTTTCAAGGCAACAAGTTATTTTGCAAAACAATACAATTGGGGTGGGGGGCAGGGAAACAATGGAATTAATATTCCTGGAACTTTCTATGTCCAATAAAACAATCTCTGTTTTCAACAAATACAAATTTTGGAACAAAACTGTCTTTAAGTTAAATATTTTGTATTTTTAC